GCTCCTCTCCTCGTCACGGCTACTGCTGCTGTTCCTACTGCTGCTGTTGCTGTTAGTGCTGCTGCTGTTCCTACTGCTGCTGTTGCTGTTAGTGCTGCTGCTGTTCCTACTGCTGCTCCTGCTGCTGTTGCTCCTGCTGCTACTCCTGCTGCTGTTGCTGTTAGTTGCTGCTGCTGCTTCCTGCTGCTGTTGCTCCTGCTGCTGCTCCTGCTGCTGCTCCTGCTGCTGTGCTCCTGCTGCTGTTGCTGTTAGTGCTGCTGCTGCTCCTGCTGCTGTTGCTCCTGCTGCTATACTCCTGCTGCTGTTGCTGTTAGTGCTGCTGCTGCTGCTCCTGCTGCTGTTGCTCCTGCTGCTGCTCCTGCTGCTGCTGTTAGTGCTGCTGCTCCTGCTGCTGTTGCTCCTGCTGCTGCTCCTGCTGCTGCTGTTGCTCCTGCTGCTGCTTCTGCTGCTCCTCCTGCTGCTGCTCCTGCTGCTCCTCCTGCTGCTGTTAGTGCTACTGCTGCTCCTGCTGCTGTTGCTCCTGCTGCTGCTCCTACTGCTGCTCCTGCTGCTGCTCCTCCTGCTGCTGCTGTTAGTGCTGCTGCTCCTACTGTTGCTACTGCTGCTGCTCCTGCTGCTCCTCCTGCTTGCTGCTGTTAGTGCTGCTGCTCCTGCTGCTGCTGTTAGTGCTAGCTGCTCCTGCTGCTACTTGCTGCTGCTGCTACTGCTACTGCTCCTACTGCTGCTCCTCCTCCTGCTCCTGCTGCTGCTCCTCCTGCTGCTGCCATCCCCGCTTGAGTCACCCAGGGGTAAGAGGCTCGCTGAGTCTCAAGACTCATTCTCAGCGGTGGGGTGCCTGCCAAAGCGTTCGCCAGCATAGGACTACGACGGACGATGTCCCCGCTGCGAGGGCAAGGGAGGGGGGGGGTTTAGCCAATGGGACGAGGGCAACCTGGAGAACCCGGGGTAAAGCCAATGCGGATCAGTGGGAAGAGAAAACCACAGTCCCCCTTCCAGCCCCCGTCCAATTCCCTCCGTCCAGCTTCACGTCTCTCTCCGAGCGTCCACGCAACGCTCCCCTCCACCTACCCCACCACCTCCCACATCTCTTACCTTCTATAACCTCTTGCCACGGCATCTCTCTCCCACTTCAGTAAAGAAAAAAACAACAATTTTCTTGCTGTGGTTTCCCCAACCTGTTGCAATCGAAACGTCGTGATTTGTTTTATGTTTCCACCTGCTGCGCGACTTTCGCCGAAAGAACCACGGAGAGAGTGGATCACCGCAGTCACGGAAAGCCTTCAAAAATCTTGAGTGGGGAGAGAATTCAATCGCGGGTCCACAAGACGGAGGCGAAGATCGCCCGCTGGTGCTCTTTCCAGCAGGCCGTTTTGGGGGCAAGTGCGAGTAGCAGCACCACCAGTGAAGGCCGGCACTGAGGCACACGATGGGGGGTGGGTGGTCAGCACCTAGCCCGGCCGCCTTTGTCTCCCCAGTGGCGAAGTTTACTGCGCACCGCACTAGGCACTCATTTTACCTGGGGGTGGCCGTGATAGGGAATCGAACTTGGGTGACCGTCTTCGAAAATCAGCTGTGTCTATCTCTCTATCTATCTGTCTATCTCTCTGTCTATCTCTGTGTCTATCTATGTGTGTCTATATCTCTCTGTGTCTATCTCTCTGTGTCTATCTCTGTATTTATCTCTCTGTGTCTATCTCTGTGTCTATCTCTGTGTCTATCTCTCTGTATTTATCTCTGTATCTATATCTCTCTGTGTCTATCTCTCTGTATTTATCTCTGTGTCTGTCTCTGTGTCTATCTCTCTGTATTTATCTCTCTGTGTATATCTCTGTGTCTATCTCTGTGTGTCTATATCTCTCTGTGTCTATCTCTGTATTTATCTCTCTGTGTCTATCTCTGTGTCTATCTCTCTGTATTTATCTCTGTGTCTATATCTCTCTGTGTCTATCTCTGCGTGTCTATCTCTGTGTCTATCTCTCTGTGTCTATCTCTGTGCCTATCTCTGTGTCTATCTGTCTATCTCTGTCTATCTCTGTGTCTATCTATGTGTGTCTATATCTCTCTGTGTATATCTCTCTGTATTTATCTCTGTCTATATCTCTATGTGTCTATCTCTGTGTCTATCTCTGTGTCTATCTCTCTGTATTTATCTCTGTATCTATATCTCTCTGTGTCTATCTCTCTGTATTTATCTCTGTGTCTATCTCTGTGTCTATATCTGTGTGTCTATATCTCTCTGTGTCTATCTTTCTGTATTTATCTCTGTGTGTCTATCTCTCTGTATTTATCTCTGTGTCAAACTCTGTGTCTATCTCTGCGTGTCTATCACTCTGTATTTATCTCTGTGTCTGTCTCTGTCTATATCTCTGTGTCTATATCTCTGTGTCTATATCTCTCTGTCTATCTCTGTGTGTCTATCTCTCTGTATTTATCTCTGTGTCAAACTCTGTGTCTATCTCTGCGTGTCTATCTCTCTGTATTTATCTCTGTGTCTATCTCTGCGTGTCTATCTCTCTGTATTTATCTCTGTGTCTATATCTGTGTCTATTTCTGTGTCTATCTATGTGTCTGTCTCTGTGTCTGTCTCTGTGTCTGTTTACTGCACACAGCACCAGGTACTCATTTGAGGCTGAGTCGACCTAGGGGACACCCCATAACCGTTTGGGATAATCGCAGTGCCGGATGAAGCTCGTGCGTGGCATGTACCACGATGTTATCAAGGGGTCCTAAATGACACGAAAAAAAGCACATAAATATTAAAACACGTACATTTTTAACTTGTAAAGTAAAGTAATTGTATTTCTTCATTTACTATACAGCCCAGGTAATACGACAAATCGCTAACCTTAAACACCCGGTCGTTCATAAAAGTTGCAGGCGGTATAGTACTATAGTAATAGAGCAAGTGCAGAATCACTGAACTGGAATTGATAGCTTGAAAGCATTTAGCGCGGGGCCCTTGAAAGTGCGAGGCCCGTAGCTACTACATATGTAGTAGTAGCTACTACACGTTGGTGATGGCGGCGGTGGCGGTGATGGTGTGGTGGAGTTGGTGGTGGTAGTGGGCACAGTGGTGGTAGGGGTGGTGGTGGTGGTGGAGTTGGTGGTGGTTGTGGGCACAGTGGTGTAGGGGTGGTGGTGGTGGTGGTGGTGGAGTTGGTGGTGGTAATGGGCACAGTGGTGGTAGGGGTGGTGGTGGAGTTGGTGGTGGTAGTGGGCACAGTGGTGGTAGGGGGGGTGGTGGTGGTGTGGAGTTGGTGGTGGTAATGGGCACAGTGGTGGTAGGGGTGGTGGTGGTGGTGGTGGTGGAGTTGGTGGTGGTAATGGGCACAGTGGTGGTAGGGGTGGTGGTGGTGCTATAAATAATGCACACCGCACTCCCTGCTGTGGCAACAATGAAAGGGGGAGGGAGGACTGCCCCCCCCCCCCCCACCTGGAGGAGTAACCGGACCCTGCTGCCACAGGGGTCCGGTTACCCCCGACTCGGAGAGCCACGACCACGGGAGAGCGATCGTGAGGTCAACATCATCGTCGTCGTCATCATCATCATCACCACCACCATCTCATCCATCACCATCATCACCGTTTCAGCTGATGATTGATGATGGCAGTGGTGGTGATGATAGTGGTTGTGGTGACGGTGGTGATGGTGGTGGTGATAGGGGTTGTGGTAGCGACGTGGTGGTTGCGATGACAGTGGTGGTGATGGTGGTGATAGTGGTGGTTGTGGTGGTGGTGACGGTGGTGGTGGTGATGATAGTGGTTGTGGTGGTGGTGACAGTGGTGGTAGTGGTGATGATACTGTATGGGTCACGGTGCTTGCTAACAGCACTTGCCTCCACAATCTGTTGAGGCTATACGGGGGATCTTTGTCTTTGTGGTGATGACAGTGGTGGTTATGGTGACAATAGTGGTGGTAATGATCGTGGTGCTGGTTATAATAGTAATTGTGGTGGTGATGATCGTGGTTGTGATGATAGTGGCTATGGTGATAGTGGTGGTGGTGATAGTGGTAGCCATGATAATGATTGTGGTGATGATCGTGGTGGTGATGATCGTGGTATATAAATTAAATACGGTGAAAAGTGGTGGCGATAGTGGTAAGTGATGAAAGTGGAAGCCATGCTAGTGAATGTGGGGTGATATGGTGGTGATGATAGTGGTTATGGTGATAGGGTGGTGGTGGTGATGTGATAGAATGGTAGTCCATGATAGTGGTAGCCATGATCATAAATCATATGATTTGTGGTGTCGATATGGTGGTGGTGGTGATAGTGGGTGGTGGTGGTGGTGGTAGTCGTTGTCGTGGTGGTTCTGATCGTGGTCGGCTGGTTGATGGTAGTACCGTCGTCGTTGATGATGATGGTGGTGGTGGTTAATGGTAGTCGTGATATCCATGGTGGTATGCTGGATGGTAGTAGTTGTGGTGATGATCGTGGTGATGATAGTGGTTATGGTGATAGTGTGGTGGTGATCGTGGTAGCGATGGAGTGGTAGCCATGATACGTGAATGTGGTGATGATATGGTGGTGATGATAGTGGGTGGTGATAGTGGTAGTGATGATAGTGGTAGCTCATGTATAATAAATTATAATGATTATGGTGGTGATATGGTGGTGTGTGATAGTTGGTGGTGGTGGTAGTCGTTGTCGTGGGTGGTGATGATCGTGGTGGTGGTGCTGGTAGTCGTCGTGGTGATGGATGGGTGGTTGATGGTAGGTAGTTTTGTGGTGGATGATCGTGGTGGTAGTTGATGGTGAGCCATGTTGTTTGTGGTCGTGGCTGGGTTGGTGATGATCGTGGTGGCGGGTGGCGATGGTTAATCATTGTAAGTGGTGGTTCGTGGCGGCGGTGTGATGATTGGGTGACTGCTCGTCCTTTGTGGTGATAATCGTGGTATAGCGTGGTGAACGTGTAGCCGTTGTGGTGACGATACTGGCGCGCGCGGTGGTGGCCGGCTGATGATGGCCGTGGCGCCGGTTGTCTCGGTGCTGTCCCAGTGCCGGGGCCCGGTCTCCGACGTGCGTGTCGCCGCTCTGAACGGCACGGCGGTGCGCGTGACGTGGGCCCCGCCGGCCCGGGCCTGCGACGGGGCCGGCGTCGGGCACGGCCGGCCCCGTCCTCTCCTACTTGCTGCGCTACCGCCGCATGCTGCCCGTGTCGGAGCCCAGCCAGGAGCTGCCGGTGCCCGGCGCCAACGGCACGGAGGCGACGCTCACCGGGCTCGCGCCGCGCTCCAGCTACGCCGTGGCGGTGAGGGCGGCGCGCGTTGGTGGCGCACGGCGGTGGTGTGATTTGAGTGGCTGTGTGGTTGTGTGGTTGAGTGATTGAGTGGTTGATTGATTGTGCGGTTGTTTGGTTGTGTAGTTGAGTGGTTGAGTGGTTGTTTGGTTGTGTGGTTGAGTGGTTGATTGATTGTGTGGTTGTTTAGTGAGTGGTTGAGTAGTTGTTTGGTTGTTTGGTTGTGTGGTTGAGTGGTTGATTGATTGTGCGGTTGTTTAGTTGAGTGGTTGAGTAGTTGTTTGGTTGTGTGGTTGAGTAGTTGTTTGGTTGATTGATTGTGCGGTTGTTTGGGTTTGAGTGGTTGAGTGGTTGTGTGGTTGAGTATTTTTCGTTGATTGGTTGTGTAGTTGTGTGGTTGACTGGTTGTTTGGTTGTGTGGTTGAGTAGTTGTTTAGTTGAGTGGTTGTGTGGTGAGTGGTTGTTTGGTTGAGTGGTTGAGTGGTTCAGTGGTTGTGTGGTTGAGTAGTTGTTTCGTTGATTGGTTGTGTGGTTGTGTGGTTGTTTGGTTGTGTGGTTGAGTAGTTGTTTAGTTGAGTGGTTGTGTGGTTGAGTGGTTGTTTGGTTGAGTGGTGTTGAGTGGTTGAGTGGTTGTTTGGTTGTGTGGTTGAGTGGTTGTGTGGTTGTGTGGTTGAGTGGTTGGTGGCTGTTTGGTTGTGTGGTTGTGTGGTTGTTTAGTTGATTGTTGTGTGGTTGTGTGGTTGTTTAGTTGATTGTTTGTGTGGTTGAGTGGTTTGCTTAGTTTGATTGGTTATGTGGTTGTGTGGTTGAGTGGTTGAGTGGTTGTGTGGTTGTGTGGTTGTGCGGTTTGGTCGTTTGGGTTGAGTAGTAGTTGTGTGGTTGAGTGGTTGAGTGGTCGAGTGGTCACGTGTCGTGTTACCAGCGTGGTGCAGGTGGCCGCCGTGAGCTCCGTGGGGACCGGCGCTTCCAGGAGACGAGGATGGTGACGACCCCGGACAGCCGTGAGTCGCGGCACAGCAACCATGCACCGCCACTGGGCACCGGGGTGGTGGTGGTTGAACACAGGTGTAGTGGTGGGTGGTTGAACACGGTGTGGTGGTGGTGGTGCGGGTGGTGGTGGTGGGTGGTTGATACGACCCAGTGAGTATCATCGTAGAGCCCGGGACCACGGGGGGGGTGGAGGGAGGAGGGATCGCGACCGAAGTTCACGGCTACCCTGACCACGGGGGGTAGCGGTGGCAGCGATGAACGAGTGACGAGGAGGCGACCGGCCGAGGTGACCGCCCCTGCCGTACGTGGCGAGCGAGCACGTGGGTCAAATGTCACTGTTACCCACTCGCCCCCCCCCCCACCACCCTTACCCCCCCCCCCCCCCCCCCTGCAGTGCCGGGTCCCGTTGCGGGCCCTGCAGGCCATCCCCGTGAGCCAACACGGCCATCCGGCTCAGCTGGGGACCCCCACCGCCCCCGGCGGCCTGGTGACGCTCTAACTCGGTGCGAGTGCGTGACGCCGAGAGCGGCGAGCGCCTGTCCTACACCGTGCGCGTCCGCGACTCCGCTCAGTCCACCCTGCGCCCCGCGGTGAGAACTCCCCCTCGTGACCTCTCCCCTCGTGACCTCCATCTCGTGACCTCCCTCTCGCGACCTCCCTCTCGTGACCTCTCCCCTCGTGACCTCCCCCCTTCGTGACCCTCCTTCTCGTGACCTCCTCCCTCTCATGACCTCCCTCTCGTGACCTCTCCCCTTCGTGACCTCCCCTCTCGTGACCTCCCTCCTCGTGACATCCTCCTCGTGACCTCCCTCTCGTGACCTCCCTCTCGTGACCTCCTCTCGTGACCTCCCTCTCGTGACCTCCCACTCGTGACCTCCCTCCTTCGTGACCTCCCTCTCGTGACCTCCTCCTCGCGACCTCTCCTCACCTGGCCGCTCGAGCATCGGCCCCCCCGAGCACGACCTCTTGACCCCCACCGCGCGCCCCTGACCTCGCCAACCACCGACCTCCAGATCTCGCCGACACTCACGCCTCCGCTGACCCCGCCGCCGCCGCCCGCCGCCGCCGCCAGCCGCCCCCGGCCACGGCCACGGCCACGGCGGCCCCGCCGGGTGGCTCGACGGCCAGCGTACGACGCCGCCCGCGACGTCCACCTTCCTGATCGGCGGCCTGCGGCCACACACACGCTACGCCGTCGAGGTGGGCGCCTCCACCGCCGCCGGGAGGGCGCCAAGCTCCTACTGGAGGTCCGCACGCCCGAGTGGGGTCAGTCTCTCCCCCTCCCTCACCACCCTCACACCCTCCCTCCCATCCCTTCCTCCCCTCCCTCATCCCTCCTTCCCCTCCCTCCCATCCCTTCCTCCCCTCCCTACCTCCCTCTCTCTCTCCCTCCCTCCCTCCCTCCCTCCCTCCCTCCCCTCCCTCCCCTCCCTCCCCTCCTTCCCCTCCCTCCCTCCCCTCCCTCCCTCCCTCCCTCCATCCCTCCCTCTCTCCCTCACTCACTCACTCCCTCATCCCTCCCTCCCTCCCTCACCCCCTCCCTCCCCATCCCTCTCTCCCTCCCTCCCTCCCTCATCCCTCCCTTCCCTCCCTCCCTCCCTCCCTCCCTCCCTCCCTCCCTCCCTCCCTCTCTTCCTCACTCACTCACGCCCTCATCCCTCCCTCCCTCCCTCATCCCTCCATCCCTCCCTCCCTCCTTCCCCTCCCTCCCCTCCCTCCCTCCCTCCCTCTCTCACTCACTCACTCACCCCCTCCCTCCCTCCCCTCCCTCCCCTCCCTACCTCCCTCCCTCCCTCACTCACTCCCTCCCTCCCTCCCTCCCTCATCCCTCCCCTCCCTACCTCCCTCCCCTCCTCCCTCCCTCCCTCCCTCCCTCTCCCTGCCCTCCCTCCCCGTGTCCCGTGGGAGTCTGGGTGACTCACGGGGTACCGAGTCTCTGCCGCATCCGTTGCCGGAGCGAGCCGCTCGCAGTCGGCAGGCCGCAAGTTCAAATCCCCGCTCGGCGGGAGTTGACACCGACCCATCATCATTGCGCCTCCCTCCCAAGGGGTAGATAAAATAAGGCACCGCTTTGCGAGGCGGGTTGGGCGGGGCGGGGGGGGGGGGGCGGGAAGTAAATAGCTGTTGGCTTATGAATAGACCCGCCCCCGCCATAGGAATGTGGAATTTCCACCGGAGATGGAGCACCAATGCGCCGGGCCGCGTTATCACCGCCGCTGTTCGTGCCACCTGATGTGAGTAACCGTATCGGCGGCCGGTAACGGTCAGTGCCGGTGGCGCGGCGGTACGGCACGGGGGGGGGGGGGGCGGGGGGGGGAGGAGCGGTGGAAGCGCGAGTGGAGGAGAGGGAGAAAGAGAGGGGAGGGAGGAAAGGAGAGGAGAGAGAGTGGGGTCGGGGGGGGGGGGGGATGGACAGAGAGTTGAGCGAGGCAGGGAAAAGTAGATGGTAGCAGAGGGTGCTGAGAATGAAGAGAGGAGAGCTTGAAGAGGTAAGATGCGGGACAGAGTGGAAGAGATGGAGAGAGAGAGAGAGGGGGGGGAGCCGGGGGAGGTGACGGTGATGACCGTGATGCTGGCCAGGCCTAACCCCGCGTGCCCCCCCCCCCCCACCCACGTGTTTATTATTGTTGCCCGCGCCCCCTGGCACCGCCGCTCACCGGCGTGGGCTCCGGGGTGGGGGGGGGGGTAGCCCCCTCGCACGCCCCACCCCACACCCCCCCTTCCCGCACGGACACCGACAGCGCCAGGGCCCTCACCGGATGCTTCGTGGCATCGCCGCCGGTGAAGCAGAGGAGCTGGGTTGGCCACACAGGTGGCGGTGGTGACGGTGGTGGTGACGGCGGTGACGGTGGTGGTGATGACGGCGGTGATGGTGGTGATGACGGTGGTGATGACGGTGGTGGTGGTGGCGGTGGGTGCGTCCGTCTTGGTGGCCGCCGTGCCAGGCAAGGGCGGTGGCGGTCGCCCTCCTGGCCGTGGCGTCGCTGGCGAGGGCGCAGCGGGGACCAGCTACCGGCCGTGGCGCCACCGGGTGCTAGGTGGCAACCCGAGGGGAAGACACGCTCGCTGGCGGAGAGGGGGCGAGCGGGCGGGCGATCGTGCGGGCAAGCGGGCGGAGAGGGGGCGAGCGGGCGGGCGAGCGGGAGGAGAGGGGGAGATCGCACGGGGGATCGTGCGGGTGAGCGGGCGTGCGAGGGTGGAAGGCAGGGTTGTGACAGGTCTGCCCGGTTACCACCCCCCCCATCAATCCCCCCCCCCCCGGTAGTGCCGGAGGACCCCCCGGGGATCCTGACTGTGCTTGAGCTGACGGCGCGCTCGCTGACGCTGCAGTGGACTCCGCCGGCGCGGCCCAACGGGGAGGTGCAGTACACGGTGCAGGTGACGCGCTCCTCCGGTGAGCCTCCGCGCACTACCGCAGCCTGCACTACCGCAGCATGCACTATCACATCATGCACTACCGCATCATGCACTACCACATCATGCACTACCACATCATGCACTACCTCAGCCTGCAGTACCGCAGCATGCACTACCACAGCATGCACTACCACATCGTGAACTACCGCAGTGTTTACCAGCTCGGCCTACACTACCAGCTTGGTCTGCACTACCACAGCCTGCGCTACCACAGCCTGAACTACCACATCATGCACTACCGCAGTGTATACCAGCCCGGCCTACACTACCAGCTTGGTCTGCACTACCGCAGCCCACACTACCGCAGCATGCACTACCACATGATGCACTACCGCAGTTTATACCAGCTCGGCCTACACTGCCAGCCTGGTCTGCACTACCACAGCCTGCGCTACCACAGCCTGAACTACCACATCGTGCACTACCGCAGTGTATACCAGCTCGGCCTGCGCTACCACATCGCGCCCTGGACCCCTCGCCTCGTGGCGCATGCACCTAGGTACTGTGCCCGCTGTGCCGCGACTGATATCGTGATGGCGGGGCAGGCGCGATCCAGGCCGAGGAGACGGTGGCGGCCCTGCGGCTGACGGTGGGCGACCTGCGCCCGTTCACCGAGTACACGGCCAAGGTGTGGGCCCAGACAAAGCGTCGGGGTGGGGCCCGAGCGCCGGGCTCATCGTCACCACCTCCTCCGACGGTCAGAGGGGGGGGGGGGGGGATAGGTAGAGATTTACAGAGATAGGTAGAGATTTACAGAGATAGGTAGAGACTTACAGAGATACGTAGAGACTCGTAGGTAGAGATTTACAGAGATAGGTAGAGACTCGCGGAGATAGATAGAGACTTACAGAGATAGATAGAGACTCACGGAGATACGTAGAGACTTACAGAGATACGTAGAGACTCGTAGGTAGAGATTTACAGAGATAGGTAGAGACTCGCGGAGATACGTAGAGACTCGTAGGTAGAGATTTACAGAGATAGGTAGAGACTCACGGAGATACATAGAGACTCATGGAAATACGTAGAGACTTACAGAGATACGTAGAGACTCGTAGGTAGAGATTTACATAGATATGTAGACTTAGAGAGACTCACAGAGACACACAGAGACACACAGACATGCAAGAGACTCACAGAGACTCACAGAGACACACAAACACAAATAGACCAACAGAGACTCACAGAGACACACAAACACAAAGAGACCAACAGAGACTCACAGAGACACACAAGCACAGAGAGACCAACAGAGACCAACAGAGACCAACAGAGACTCACAGAGACTCACAGAGACACACAAACACACAGAGACCAACAGAGACTCACAAAGACTCGCAGAGCCTTGCAGAGACACACAGAGACTCACAGAAACACAGATAGACTCACAGAAGCTCACAGAGACTCACAGACATACAGAGACTCACAGAGACACACAAACACACAGAGACCAACAGAGACAGAGACTCACAGAAACACACAGAGACCCACAGAGGCTGACAGAGACACACAGAGACACACAGAGACTCACAGACATGCAGAGACTCACAGAACCTCACAGAGACTCACAGACATACAGATACTCACAGAGACACACAAACACAAAGAGACCAACAGAGACTCACAGAAACACACAGAGACTTACAGAGACTCACAGAGACTCACAGACGCTCACAGAGGCTCGCATAGACTCACAGAGGCTCACAGAGACTGACAGAGGCCCACAGAGACACACAGAGACTCACAGACATGCAGAGACTCACAGAGCCGCACAGAGGCTCACAGACATACAGAGACTCACAAAGACACACAAATACAAAAAGGCCAACAGAGACTTACAGAGACTCACATAGCCTTGCAAAGACTCACAGAGACACACAGAGACTCACAGACTTCCAGAGCCTCACAAAGACTCACAGAGGCTCACAGAGCCTCACAGAGACTCACAGAAACACACAGAGACTCAGAGGCTCACAGAGACTCACAGATGCTCACAGAAGTTCACAGAAACACAGAGACTCACAGAGACTCACAGAGACTCACAGAGACTCACAGAGGCTCACAGAGGCACACAGAGACTCACAGAAACACACAGAGACTCACAGAGGCACAGAGAGACTTACAGAGCCTCACAGAGACTCACAGAGGCACACAGAGACTTACAGAGCCTCACAGAGACTCACAGAGGCACACAGAGACTTACAAGAGACTCACAAAGACTCACAGAGGCTCACAGAGGCTCACAAAGCCTTGCAGAGACTCACAGAGACACACAGAGACTCACAGACTTGCAGAGACTCGCAGAGCCTCACAGAGACTCACAGAGGCTCACAGAGCCTCACAGAGACTCGCAGAACCACTCGGAGACTCACAGAGGCCCACAGAGACTCACAGTGTCTCACAGAGGCTCACAGAGACTCACAGAAACACAGAGACTCACAGAGACTCACAGAGGCTCACAGAGGTTCACAGAGGCACACAGAGACTTACAGAGACTTACAGAGGCTCACAGAGGCTCACAGAGGTTCACAGAGCCTCGCCGTGCTGCCCACAGTGCCGGGCCCCGTGGGCGACCTGACGGCCGTGGGGCTCAACGCGACGGCCGTGCTCGTACAGTGGAGCCGCCCGTCGGAGCCCAACGGCGCCATCTTGCGCTACCGCGTGCTGGCGCTCGTCCAGAGCACCGGCGCCATCGTCCAGGAGGTGGTCCTGCGGGAGCGCACCGCGGTGAGGCCCGGGAGAGCGGTGGCCGGCGCGGGGCGGAAGTGTGTGGCCCGGTCTCCATCCGTTTCATCTCTCGCTCTCCCCCCTTCTAGCCGTGGGGAGGAGCCATGCCCCCTGCCCCTGCCAGGAGAAGGCAGAGGCAGGGGGGATAGAGCGTTGCCCCTTTGCTTACATGCGTTGCATCGGTAGCGACGATGCCCGTGCACCGGTAACGACGATGCCCGTTATCGCTAACGCCGCTGCCCCTGTAACCGGTAACGACGCTGCCCCTGTAACCGGTAACGCCGCTGCCCCTGTAACCGGTAACGACGTTGCCCGTGCACCGGTAACGACGCTGCTCGTCATTGCAGGAAGATGACCTGGGGTCTGGCGTGGGCCCCATGACCGCGTACCTGTCAAGCGCCACCACCTCGCCCGCCTCCGCCTCCACCGCTAGCGCCAGCTCAGCAACCAGCGTCAGCGCCGCTACCGGCACCACTCCCGGCGCCTCCGCGACCACCGCGGCGACCCCGCCCGCCACGCCGGTCTCGGCCGTCACACCGCCGGCGCCGCTCTTCCCTTACGCCGACCGCCGCTTGCGCCGGGCGGTGGCGGTGGAGCCGGGGGGGCGGCGACGTCGGCGATGACCACGGCGGCGCCGGCGGCGAGCGGTCGGGCCTCGAGCCGAGGGGCCGTGCCGCCCCCCCGCCGGTGCCTCCCCCGCCGGTGCCTCCCCCGCCGCTGCTGCTCCCGCGATGGCGCCAGCCGCCGCACGTGCAGAGGAGAGACGCGGCGGAGCCCGGCCCAGGTGGCGTAACCGCCGCGACGGCACCGCCGCGTCACTCGCCAGGCGCCAACTACGCGCGGTTGTGTGCAACCGCGCAAGGCCACGCTCAATCCCGTGCAACCGCTTGCAAACATGCTCGAACACGCGCAACCACAAGCAATCACGTGGACCCATGCTCGATCACGTGCAATCGCATTCGACCGCGTGCAACTGCGCACAATCGTGTGGAACCGCATGCAACCGTGCTCAACCACAAGCAATCCTACGCGCAACCGCTTGCAACCATGCAGAGGCGCTTGCACACAATATTGTGGATTGTGTACGTGTGTACGTGTGTGTGTGTGTGTGTGCGCGATTGTATACGTGTGTGTGTCGATTGTGTATGTGTGTGCTGCTGATTGTGTACGTGTGTGTGTGATTGTGTACGTGTGTGTGTGTGTGATTGTGTATGTGTGTGTGTGCGCGATTGTGTACGTGTGTGTGCGCGATTGTGTACGTGTTGTGCGCGATTGTGTACGGTGTTGTGCGCGATTGTGTACGTGTGTGTAGTGCGTGATTGTGTAAGTGTGTGTATGTGCGTGATTGTGTAGGTGTGTGTATGTGCATGATTGTGTACGTGTGTGTGCGCGATTGTGTAGGTGTGTGTGTGTGCACGATTGTGTACGTGTGCGTGCGCGGTTGTGTACGTGTGTGTACACATGTCTCTGCGCCGGGCTACCCAGGTCACACCCGTGTCTCTGCTCGTGCGTAGCGGAGCAGCAGCTGACGGTGCTGGGCGACGTGTCCGGGGAGCTGCTGGCGCTTGCCGTGCCGCGTCTGCCGCCGTACTCGGAGCTCAGCTTCTCCGTGTCGGCGGTCACCGTCATGGGCGAGGGCCCCGCGGTCAGCGTGAGCGCGTGGACCCTGCAGGGCGGTACGCCGATGGCTCGCGCGCGCCGCGGGGAGAGCCGCGGTTGGGGGGGGTGGTACGTGCGCGTCTTGACACGTGCGCGTCTTGACACGGTGCGCGTCTTGACACGTGCGCGTCTTGACACGTGCGCGTCTTGACACGCGCGCGTCTTGACACGTGCGTATCCACGGGCATGCGCGGGTGTGGGCACGCGGGAGTCGCGCGCACAGATGCACGGATGATGATGATGATGATGACGAAAGAGCATGTGAGTGATGGCGATCGGTGGAAAGACAGATTGCGCACAATCGTGATGCTGATGAAGACGATGATGATGTTGATGATGGCGATGAAGGATGACAACGACGATGATGACGATGATGATGTTAATTATGACGATGATGTTAATAATGACGACGACGACGACGTTGTTGGCGACGATGATGACGACGACGATGCCGCCACTGTGTGCGCAGTGCCGTCGCCGGTGCGTGCCGTGCGCTCCGAGACGCTGTCGCCCACCTCCGTGCGGGTCACGTGGGAGCCGCCCCTGCACCCCAACGGCGTCCTGGGGCCCTACACGGTCTACGTGGCCCTGCTGGGCGACGCCGGCAGCGAGACGCGCGCCCTCACCACCAACGGCACCGCCGCAACCGTCGCAGGTACGAGCCGGTACCGCCATCAACGTTGCCGCCGGGACCACCAACACAAAAACCACCGGCGCCACCGCCAACACCACCACCGCCACCAGCACCGCCACCACCGCCACCAGCACCGCCACCACCGCCACCAGCACCGCCACCACCACCATCACGGCCAGCGCCTCCATCGCAGCGTCCCTGTCTCTCGCTGTCTCTGCTCGTGGTGGTGCCTACTCCATGTCCACCCGTGCCCCAAACCGTGCCCCAACCGTGCCCCCCCCCCATGCCCACTCCATGCTTCCTCGTGCCCCCCCATGCCCCCCACCCCTTGCCCCAGGCCTGCTCAAGTTCTCCAGCTACCGGCTGCGTGTGTCGGCATCCACGGGCGCCGGAGAGAGCCTCCTCACCGACGCCGACAACGTCTTCCTCACCACGCCTGAGGATGGTGAGATGGGGGGACGGGGGATGGTGAGACGTGGGGAGAGACACACACATAGAGACACGCATAGAGACACGCGCAGAGACACACGCAGAGACACACGCACAGAGACACACGCACAGAGACACACGCAGAGACACACGCACAGAGACACACGCGCAGAGACACACGCGCAGAGACACACGCGCAGAGACACACGCACAGAGACACACGCACAGAGACACACGCACAGAGACACACGCACAGAGACACACACACAGAGACACACACACAGACACACACACAGAGACACACGCAGAGTCACACGCACAGAGACACAAAGATCAAAGATCCCCCGTATAGCCTTAACAGACTGTAGGGGCAAGTGCTGTTAGCGAGCACCTATGAAGGCCGGAACGGTACACGAGGGGGTGGGTGGCCAGCACCACGCCCGACCGCCTTTGTTTCCCTAGTGGCAATGTTTTTATCCACCGCACCAGGTACTCATCTGAGGCTGAGTCGACCTAGGGGAGGCCCGGGACTGGTTCAGATAATCGTCACTGGTGTTGGCAGTGAGCGGGAATCGAACCCGGGTCGCCAGGTTCATAGCGCAGCGTAGCGCTAACCACTACACTATCGCTCCCCACAGAGACACACACACAGAGATACATGCAGAGACACACACACAGAGACACACACAAAGACACTCACAGAGACACACACAAAGACACTCACAGAGACACACAGAGAAGACAGCAGGAGGCCGCGGCGTCCACGCTTGCTGACGCTCCCCCCCCCCCCCGCCCCCCCCCCCCCGTGCAGGCCCCGACTCTCCGCCGCGCGACGTGAGCTACGTGGCGGTGAGCCCCACGCAGGTCAACCTGACGTGGCGTGCCCCCGAGCGGCCCAACGGCGTGGTTCTCTACTACGAGGTGCTCTACCACGACGTCGATGCCGCCGCCGCCGCCGCCGCCGGCACCGCGGCCGGCGCCGCCCTCGCGGTCACGACGCCGAGCGAGGCGGTCGCTCTCACGGGCCTGCGCAAGTACGGCCTCTACGAGGTGCGGGTGCGGGCCTACACGCGCGCCGGCCACGGCAACCAGAGCAGCGCCGCGCTGTTGGTGCGCACCGCCGATGACGGTACGGCGCCAATCACCGGTCGTCGTGATCGTCGTCATAATCGTCGTCGTCGTGAATCGTCGTCGTGCTCGTCGTCGTAATCGACGTCGTCGTCGTCGTCGTCGTCATAATCGTCGTCGTTATTATTGTCGTCGTTATCATCATCTTCATCATCTCTCTGATGTCGTCATGGGCAGGAGACCAGCAGCAACAGCCATCGTCGTCATCGTCGTCGTCATCATCATTGTCGTCATCGTTGTTGTCAGTAGAAGCATTTTCATCATCGTCATTATCATCATAATCATCAGCAGCAGCAGCTGCATTGTCATGATCGTCAGCATTATCATGGTGATGGTCGTCGTCGTCAGTGCTGGCCGTGTGTGGGTGGGGGGGTGGGGGGTGGGGGGTCGTGACCATAGCCGGAGGCCGGAGCCAAACCCTCCCGGCATAGCGATGCCATCTCGGCAGCCTCTGCCTCACCGCCATCTGCGAGCGCCAACGCAACAGGGGTTGGCGGGGGGAGGGGGGTGGCGGGGGGGGGGGCGGTGGCAGCGTTGGGCGAGTGCCGAGCGAGGCGCACGGCGGTGGCACGACGTCCGGGCCGTGCCGGATTTTTCGCGAGTGGGTATCGGCGATTCGCAATCGTCCATCGTCGGGCGAAAGGGGCGCAGCCAAAAACGTCGTGCCGTGAGCACGGCGGTGCCATCCACGGCACACTTTTTTGGGAGTTTTTGCCAGTGTCAAAGGTATGAGAAATAGGAGTAGGCTTCATACCCTTTCTGGCAATCGAACAGGTGGTGTGTGCAGATGTTCAAGCGCCAAATGGACGATACCTTTTGCAGGTAATCAAGTGACAGCATTAATTGAGTGTAAGCCAATCGGTTTAAAAAAAATAATGCATTCATGATCAAAGCAATGTTTGTTTTGTATGTCCACGGCAAGGACTCTGTTTGGTTACTGCAGTAACTCGATTCCTTTGCAAAAGGTATATATTTAGTGGGACCTTTTTTGCCAGCTTCAAAGTATGAAAAATTAGAATAGGTGATTTTACCCCTTGCTGGCAATACAACAGGAAATGTGTGAAGATGTTGCAAACCCACTGGCGCATCGACAAAGATTCGTTCATGAAACCCATCCGTATATAAAGACAGAGACAATTTCAACCGACAAGATGGGTACAAGCTCAGCAATCACTGGAAGGACGTTATCAACAAGTTTAAGTCATAACTGCCTCTAATGTTTCCACTTTAGACCTGGCAGCCGTTTAATTGGTTGAAGCCAACCACCAGGACCAGTACTGCCCACTCCCTTTATTGGTGGAAGCCAAACCACCAGCACCATCACGACCCACGACTACCATCACATCTAGCAGCCCTTTAATTGGTGTAAGCCAACCACCAGGACCATTACTGCCCACTCCATTTATTAGTGGAAGCCCACCACCAGCGCCATTTTTGCCCTTCACTTACAGTTCATTAACATTGGCTGCCCCGCCCATGCTGATGACACTGGGGCTACGCCCATTTTAAACCTTTTTAAACAGTTTACCTTTAGAGGCTTAACCCCCTTGTCCTGATGACGACCGCTTGTGTTGCGATCAAAACGTCATAGTTTTTTTTATTATTTTCTTTGAACCTATCTACGTGACTTTACTGAAAGGCCCGACGAATAGACGATACCTTTCGCAGGGAATCAAGTGACTGTATTAACCACACACAGTACTTGTGGTGAACAAACAAGCATAGCTCTGATCATATACGCATGATTGTTTTTTTAACTGATTGTCTTACAATCAGATTGGCTTACAATCAATGTGTTTCATGTTTCACCACAAGTTACCGTGTGTGGTAAAGGCAAGACATGATTCCTTCCATAATGTCTCTATTTGGTGCTTGAACATCTCAACAAAACTACAGTTTTATTGTCAATGAAGGGTAAAGAACCGACTCTTATTTCTCATAAGCTGTGATATTGGCAACAAAAAAAAGGATGCCATGGAGGAGCCGACAAAGTTGACGCCGTTGCGACGGCGATGCCGGGGAACGATCTGCTCGCACTTGCTGACAGGGGAGTGGGGCGCAATTCGCTGACGGTTTAGGACCAGCATCATCATCGCCGGGAATCCGGACAAGGCGATGAGAGAGCGAGCGAGTGGGGATTGCAGGGCCATCCGTCACCGCAGCCGCCCAGTGCATGAGCGGCTAGCGGGGCGACGGCCGAGGACGCGGCTTGCTGGGACATCTGTGAAAGCGACTGGGCACCGTAGCTCGTCGGATCCCTCGAGCACGGACAAATATTCCGGCTCCAACTTTGGTCGCACAGTCAGAGGGTTACCATCGGTGCCGGCCCCGCGGGCAAGCGGCTTCGCCACGATCAATCCACTGCTGGATGGTGGCCTCCCCAAACCACCTCCTCCCCACGGTCCTGCGATGATCCACCCGACACCCGCGGCATGTGTTCTCTCTGCCGCCCGCCTCCCCCGCCCCGTCCCCCCCCACCCCCCTTGCCCACCCCCCACCACCGCTGCCACAGTCCCCGAGAGCCCCCCGTACAACGTGAGCTACGTGAACGTTGCGCCCGGCGAGGTGGAGGTGTGGTGGGTCCCGCCGGAGCTGGCCAACGGGCCCGTGCTCGCCTACACGCTGAGCTACTGGAACGCGACGGGCGGCGCGGAGGCGCCGGCGGGGCCGGCGGCGCCGCCGGTGCGCCTCACGGGGCTGCGCCCGGACAGCCGCTACAATGCGACGGTGACGGCGCACACGCGGCTCGGCAACCGGAGCAGCGGCGTGGTCGAGATCGCCACCATGGAGGGCGGTGGGTGTCGGAGCACGGAGCGCGCGCAGGGCACCATAGGCGAAGGTCCCCCCGTGTAGCCTGTAACAGACTGTAGGGGCAAGTGCTGTTAGCGAGTAGCACCTGTGAAGGCCGGCACGGCACACGAGGGGGGTGGGTGGCCACCACCGCGCCCGGCCGTCTTTGTCTCTCAAGTGCCGATGATTACACAACCTCCACCCCAGGTACTCATTTGAGGCTGACTCGACCTAGGGGAGGCCCAAGACCGGTTCAGATAATCGTCACCGGTGTCGGTCGTGAGCGGGGAATCGAACCAAGCTCCACTGGGTTCGATTCCCGCTCGGGTTCGTGACGCAGCGCGCTGACCGTGACACCGCCGCTCCCCACACAGACGTATGGACATCACGCACCACCCACACACAACACCCACACGCACCACCCACACACAACACCCACACGCACCACCCACACACAACACCCACACGCACCACCCACACACAACACCCACACGCACCACCCACACACAACACCCACACTCACCACCCACACGCACCACCCACACGCAACACCCACACGCACCACCCACACGCACCACCCACACTCACCACCCACACGCAACACCCACACGCAACACCCACACGCACCACCCACACGCACCACCCACACGCACCACCCACACGCACCACCCACACGCACCACCCACACGCACCACCCACACGCACCCCCCACACGCACCACCCACACGCACCAACCACACGCACCACCCACACGCAACACCCACACGCACCACCCACACTCACCACCCACACGCACCACCCACACTCACCACCCACACTCACCACCCACACGCACCACCCACACGCACCACCCACACTCACCACCCACACGCACCACCCACACTCACCACCCACACGCACCACCCACACGTTCCTGACTGCCTCACGGTAACTCTGCTGGCTGCTCTTGCCACCTCGCGTCGCTGACACCACCGCCACCGCCACCGCCACCACCACCACCACCACCACCACCGCGATGACACCGCGATGACCACGACGGCGACGTTGATGAGAATTCCTCCTCCCCCCCCCCCCGACACCCCGCCGGTCCCCTCCCCCCACCCCCACCGACCTCCCCACCAGTCCCCGAGGACGGCCCCAGCAACGTGAGCTACCGCAGCCTGGGCCCCACCGCGGTCGAGCTGCGGTTCTCGGCGCCGGCGCGGCCCAACGGCGCGGTGCTCTACTACGCCGTGGCGTGGACGGGCCCCGCCGCGGCGCCAGGCGGCGGGGGCGCCGAGCGGCGCTCCGCCAACGTGACGGCGGCGCCGTGGGCCCTGCGGGGGCTGCGGGCGCACGCCGACTACGGCGTGAGCGTCGCGGCCGCCACGGCCCGCGGGCCGGGGCCAGCCACCGGCATCGCCGTGCGCACCGAGGAGGACGGTGAGGGGGCGGGGGCGGGGGAGACGGAGCGCTGCTCCGGCTACACGGAGCTTCACCGTCAGAGATGGTGACGGTGATGATTGGTGACGGTGATGATTGGTGACGGTGATGATTGATGGCGGTGATGAATGGTGACGGTGATGATTGATGGCGGTGATGATTGGTGACGATTGATGACGGTGATGATTGGTGACGGTGATGATTGGTGGCTGTGATGATTGGTGACGGTGATGATTGTTGATGGTGATGATTGATGACGGTGATGATTGGTGACGGTGATGATTGGTGACGGTGATGATTGGTGACGGTGATGATTGGTGACGATTGATGACGGTGATGATTGGTGACGGTGATGATTGGTGGCTGTGATGATTGGTGACGGTGATGATTGTTGATGGTGATGATTGATGACGGTGATGATTGGTGACGGTGATGATTGGTGACGGTGATGATTGGTGACGGTGACGATTGATGACGGTGATGATTGGTGACGGTGATGATTGGTGGCTGTGATGATTGGTGACGGTGATGATTGTTGACGGTGATGATTGATGACGGTGATGATTGGTGACGGTGATGATTGGTGACGGTGATGATTGGTGGCTGTGATGATTGGTGACGGTGATGATTGGTGACGGTGATGATTGATGGCGCTGATGATTGGTGACGGTGATGATTGGTGACGGTGATGATTGGTGACGGTGATGATTGATGGCGGTGATGATTGATGGCGGTGATGATTGATGGCGGTGATGATTGGTGACGGTGATGATTGATGACGGTGATGATTGGTGACGGTGATGATTGGTGACGGTGATGATTGATGACGGTGATGATTGATGACGGTGATGATTGATGACGGTGATGATTGATGGCGGTGATGATTGATGACGGTGATGATTGATGGCGGTGATGATTGATGGCGGTGATGATTGATGGCGGTGATGATTGATGGCGATGATGATTGATGGCGGTGATGATTGGTGACGGTGATGATTGGTGACGGTGATGATTGGTGACGGTGATGATTGATGGCGGTGATGATTGATGGCGGTGATGATTGATGGCGGTGATGATTGGTGACGGTGATGATTGATGACGGTGATGATTGGTGACGGTGATGATTGGTGACGGTGATGATTGATGACGGTGATGATTGATGACGGTGATGATTGATGACGGTGATGATTGATGGCGGTGATGATTGATGACGGTGATGATTGATGGCGGTGATGATTGATGGCGGTGATGATTGATGGCGGTGATGATTGGTGACGGTGATGATTGGTGACGGTGATGATTGATGACGGTGATGATTGGTGACGGTGATGATTGGTGACGGTGATGATTGGTGACGGTGATGATTGGTGACGGTGATGATTGGTGACGGTGATGATTGGTGACGGTGATGATTGATGTCGGTGATGATTGATGACAGTGATGATTGATGGCGGTGATGATTGGTGGCGGTGATGATTGGTGGCGGTGATGATTGATGGCGGTGATGATTGATGGCGGTGATGATTGATGGCGGTGATGATTGGTGACGGTGATGATTGGTGACGGTGATGATTGGTGACGGTGATGATTGATGGCGGTGATGATTGATGGCGGTGATGATTGATGGCGGTGATGATTGGTGATGGTGATGATTGATGACGGTGATGATTGGTGACGGTGATGATTGGTGACGGTGATGATTGATGACGGTGATGATTGATGACGGTGATGATTGATGATGGTGATGATTGATGGCGGTGATGATTGATGACGGTGATGATTGATGGCGGTGATGATTGATGGCGGTGATGATTGATGGCGGTGATGATTGATGGCGGTGATGATTGATGACGGTGATGATTGGTGACGGTGATGATTGATGACGGTAATGATTGGTGACGGTGATGATTGGTGACGGTGATGATTGGTGACGGTGATGATTGGTGACGGTGATGATTGGTGACGGTGATGATTGGTGACGGTGATGATTGGTGACGGTGATGATTGGTGACGGTGATGATTGATGTCGGTGATGATTGATGACGGTGATGATTGATGGCGGTGATGATTGGTGGCGGTGATGATTGGTGGCGGTGATGATTCGTGGCGGTGATGATTGATGACGGTGATGATTGATGACGGTGATGATTGATGACGGTGATGATTGATGACGGTGATGATTGATGACGGTGATGATTGATGACGGTGATGATTGATGACGATGATGATTGATGGCGGTGATGATTGATGACGGTGATGATTGATGACAGTGATGATTGATGACGGTGATGATTGATGATGGTGATGATTGATGGCGGTGATGATTGATGGCGGTGATGATTGGTGACGGTGATGATTGGTGACGGTGATGATTGATGGCGGTGATGATTGATGGCGGTGATGATTGGTGACGGTGATGATTGATGGCGGTGATGATTGATGACGGTGATGATTGATGGCGGTGATGATTGATGACGGTGATGATTGATGGCGGTGATGATTGATGGCGGTGATGATTGATGGCGGTGATGATTGATGGCGGTGATGATTGATGACGGTGATGATTGATGGCGGTGATGAGTTGATGACGGTGATGATTGATGGCGGTGATGATTGATGGCGGTGATGATTGATGGCGGTGATGATTGATGACGGTGATGATTGGTGACGGTGATGATTGATGACGGTGATGATTGGTGACGGTGATGATTGGTGACGGTGATGATTGGTGACGGTGATGATTGGTGACGGTGATGATTGGTGACGGTGATGATTGGTGACGGTGATGATTGGTGACGGTGATGATTGATGTCGGTGATGATTGATGACGGTGATGATTGGTGGCGGTGATGATTGGTGGCGGTGATGATTGATGGCGGTGATGATTGATGGCGGTGATGATTGGTGACGGTGATGATTGATGACGGTGATGATTGATGGCGGTGATGATTGATGACGGTGATGATTGATGGCGGTGATGATTGATGGTGGTGATGATTGATGGCGGTGATGATTGATGGCGGTGATGATTGATGACGGTGATGATTGATGACGGTGATGATTGGTGACGGTGATGATTGGTGACGGTGATGATTGGTGACGGTGATGATTGGTGACGGTGATGATTGGTGACGGTGATGATTGGTGACGGTGATGATTGGTGACGGTGATGATTGGTGACGGTGATGATTGGTGACGGTGATGATTGATGTCGGTGTTGATTGATGACGGTGATGATTGATGGCGGTGATGATTGGTGGCGGTGATGATTGGTGGCGGTGATGATTGATGACGGTGATGATTGATGACGGTGATGATTGATGACGGTGATGATTGATGACGGTGATGATTGATGACGGTGATGATTGATGACGGTGATGATTGATGACGATGATGATTGATGGCGGTGATGATTGATGACGGTGATGATTGGATGGACGGTGATGATTGATTGACGGGTGATGATTGATGACGGTGATGATTGATGACGGTGATGATTGATGGCGGTGATGATTGATGGCGGTGATGATTGGTGACGGTGATGATTGGTGACGGTGATGATTGATGGCGGGTGATGATTGATGGCGGTGATGATTGGTGACGGTGATGATTGATGGCGGTGATGATTGATGACGGTGATGATTGATGGCGGTGGATGATTGATGACGGTGATGATTTGATGGCGGTGATGATTGATGGCGGTGATGATTGATGACGGGTGATGATTGATGACGGTGATGATTGGTGACGGTGATGATTGGTGACGTTGATGATTGATGACGGTGATGATTGGTGGCGGTGATGATTGATGACGGTGATGATTGATGACGGTGATGATGATGGCGGTGATTGATTGATGGCGGTGGATGATTGGTTGACGGTGATGATTGATGTCGGTGAGTGATTGATGACGGTGATGATTGGATGGCGGTGATGATTGGTGACGGTGATGATTGATGGCGGTGATGATTGATGGCGGTGATGATTGATGACGGTGATGATTGATGGCGGTGAGATTGATGACGGTGATGATTGATGACGGTGATGATTGGATGACGGTGATTGATTGATGACGTTGCTGATTGATGACGATGATGATTGATGGCGGTGATGATTGATGACGGTGATGATTGATGACGGTGATGACTTGATGACGGTGATGATTGATGACGGTGATGATTGATGGCGGTGATGATGATGATGCGGTGATGATTGGTGACGGTGATGATTGGTGACGGTGATGATTGATGGCGGTGATGATTGATGGCGGTGATGATTGATGACGGTGATGATTGATGACGGTGATGATTGATGACGGTGATGATTGATGACGGTGATGATTGATGACGGTGATGATTGATGACGGTGATGATTGATGACGGTGATGATTGATGACGGTGATGATTGATGACGATGATGATTGATGGCGGTGATGATTGATGACGGTGATGATTGATGACAGTGATGATTGATTGACGGTGATGATTGATGACGGTGATCGATTGATGGCGGTGATGATTGATGGCGGTGATGATTGTGTGACGGTGATGATTGGTGACGGTGATGATTGATGGCGGGTGATGATTGATGGCGGTGATGATTGGTGACGGTGATGATTGATGGCGGTGATGATTGATGACGGTGATGATTGATGGCGGTGATGATTGATGACGTGATGATATGATGGCGGTGATGATTGATGGCGGTGATGATTGATGGCGGTGATGATTGATGGCGGTGATGATTGATGGCGGTGATGATTGATGGCGGTGATGATTGATGACGGTGATGATTGATGGCGGTGATGATTGATGGCGGTGATGATTGATGGCGGTGATGATTGATGACGGTGATGATTGGTGACGGTGATGATTTGATGACGGTGATGATTGGTGACGGTGATGATTGGTGACGGTGATGATTGGTGACGGTGATGATTGGTGACGGTGATGATTGGTGACGGTGATGATTGGTGACGGTGATGATTGGTGACGGTGATGATTGATGTCGGTGATGATTGATGGACGGTGATGATTGGTGGCGGTGATGATTGGTGGCGGTGATGATTGATGGCGGTGATGATTGATGGCGGTGATGATTGGTGACGGTGATGATTGATGACGGTGATGATTGATGGCGGTGATGATTGATGACGGTGATGATTGATGGCGGTGATGATTGATGGTGGTGATGATTGATGGCGGTGATGATTGATTGGCGGTGATGATTGATGACGGTGATGATTGATGACGGTGATGATTGGTGACGTGATGATTGGTGACGGTGATGATTGGTGACGGTGATGATTGGTGACGGTGATGATTGGTGACGGTGATGATTGGTGACGGTGATGATTGTGACGGTGATGATTGGTGACGGTGTGATGATTGATGTCGGTGATGATTGATGACGGTGAGGATTGATGGCGGTGATGATTGGTGGCGGTGATGATTTGGTGGCGGTGATGATTGTGGCGGTGATGATTGATGACGGTGATGATTGATGACGGTGATGATTGGATGACGGTGATGATTGATGACGGTGATGATTGGATGACAGGTGATGATTGATGACGGTGATGATTGATGACGGATGATGATTGATGGCGGTGATGATTGATGACGGTTGATGATTGAGGACGGTGATGATTGATGACGGTGATGATTGATGGCGGTGATGATTGATGGGCGGTGATGATTGGTGACGGTGATGATTGGTGACCGGTGATGATTGATGGCGGTGATGATTGATGGCGGTGATGATTGGTGACGGTGATGATTGATGGCGGTGATGATGATGACGGTGATGATTGATGGCGGTGATGATTTGATGACGGTGATGATTGATGGCGGTGATGATTGATGGCGGTGATGATTGATGACGGTGATGGATTGATGAACGGTGATGATTGGTGACGGTGATGATTGGTGACGGTGATGATTGATGACGGTGATGATTGGTGGCGGTGATGATTGATGACGGTGATGATTGAATGACGGTGATGATTGATGAGCGGTGATGATTATGGCGGTGATGATTGGTGACGGTGATGATTGATGTCGGTGATGATTGATGACGGTGATTGATTGATGGCGGTGATGATTGGTGACGGTGATGATTGATGGCGGTGATGATTGATGGCGGTGATGATTGATGACGGTGATGATTGATGGCGGTGATGATTGATGACGGTGATGATTGATGACGGTGATGATTGATGACGGTGATGATTGATGACGGTGATGATTGATGACGATGATGATTGATGGCGGTGATGATTGATGACGGTGATGATTGATGACGGTGATGATTGATGACGGTGATGATTGATGACGGTGATGATTGATGGCGGTGATGATTGATGGCGGTGATGATTGGTGACGGTGATGATTGGTGACGGTGATGATTGATGGCGGTGATGATTGATGGCGGTGATGATTGGTGACGGTGATGATTGATGGCGGTGATGATTGATGACGGTGATGATTGATGGCGGTGATGATTGATGACGGTGATGATTGATGGCGGTGATGATTGATGACGGTGATGATTGATGGCGGTGATGATTGATGGCGGTGATGATTGGTGACGGTGATGATTGGTGACGGTGATGATTGGTGACGGTGATGATTGGTGACGGTGATGATTGATGACGGTGATGATTGGTGGCGGTGATGATTGATGGCGGTGATGATTGATGGCGGTGATGATTGATGACGGTGATGATTGATGACGGTGATGATTGATGGCGGTGATGATTGATGGATGGTGATGATTGATGGCGGTGATGATTGGTGACGGTGATGATTGGTGACGGTGATGATTGGTGACGGTGATGATTGATGACGGTGATGATTGATGGCGGTGATGATTGGTGACGGTGATGATTGATGGCGGTGATGATTGATGGCGGTGATGATTGATGACGGTGATGATTGATGGCGGTGATGATTGATGGCGGTGATGATTGATGGCGGTGATGATTGATGGCGGCGAATGATGGTTTGATGAACGACGGTGACGGCGATGATGACGACGATGGTGGTCATGATGGCGTCGGCACATGACGACGATGGTGACAACGATGATGATGACGACGATGGCGAACGTGACGATAGATGATGAAAGTGAAGATGACGACGACGACGATGATGACGTCACTCACGGAACGCTCCTCGACGCGGGCGTCTCGAGGAGCGTGCCGGAGTCGGCGTGAGCGTGGTTTAATTCCCCCTCCCCCCCTTCCTCGTTCTGCTTCCCAGTGCCCGGCTCGCCACCGCAGGCGGTGAGCTACCGGAACGTGAGCCCCTCCACCGTCGAGGTCTCCTTCCTGCCGCCCTCGCTGCCCAACGGGGAGATCGCTCTCTACTCGCTCTACCTGTGGCCCGCCGGGCGCGGCACCGGCGACGGCACCACCGCCACCGATAGCACCACCGCCAGCAGCGGCACAACCAACAGCGCCAACAATAACAGTGCCAGCACCAACAGCGCCAACACCAACAGCGCCAGCACTGCCACCAACAGTGCCACCGCCAACAGCGCCAACACTAACAGCGCCAACAATAACAGCGCCACCACCAACAGCGCCAACACCCACAACGCCACCACCAATAGCACCAACACCAACAGCGCCAACAGTGCAACCACCAACAGCGCCAACACCAACAGCGCCAGCAGCGCCGCAACCACCAGCGCCAATACCAACAGCGCCAACAACACCAACAGCGCCGCCACCAACATCAACGCCAACAGTGGCACCGCCAACAGCGCCGCCACCAACAGCACCACAGTAATCTCCACCAACGCCTACAGCGGCGGCGGCGGCGGCGGCGGCAGCGGCACCGGCCCCACCGCCGCCAGCTTCCTCGGCTTCCCCGGGGTCGCCGGCGCAGCGAGCGCCGTCACCGAGGGCAGCGGCGCCGGAGACCCCTTCATCAGCGGCGCGACCGGGCCGGCGGCTCTCGGCAACAACAGCACGGCGGGCGCCGGCCTCGTGGTGCTCAACGTGACGGGGCTCAGCCACAACGTGACGGGTGAGTGGGGGGGGGGCGGTCACGTGATGGTGGTGGGGGGTGGTGGTGCCGCGTCTAACGTCACTGCCACTTAGCGGCAAGCGGCGCTTGCTGTGCGTGTGTTTGCGTCGCACGGGGCGAGCGGCGGCGCGAGCCGACCTCGGGCCTCCCCTAGGTCGACTCGGCCTCAAGCGAGTACCCGGTGCGGTGTGTCGTAAACGTCGCCACTGGGGGAGACAAAGGCGGCCGGGCGTGGTGTCGGCCACCCACCCCCTCGTGCGCCGCGCCGGCCTTCTTAGGTGCTGCTCGCTCACAGCACTTGCCCCGACAGTCTGTTAAGGCTACACGGTGGATCTTTGTCCACCGTGTGTGTGTGCGCGTGTGTGTGTGTGTGTGTGCGTGACCCTGCTGAGGCTGCGGTGCCTCAAATATTGGAAGAAGTCACCCCATGTGAGTGGCTGGCTGAGGTGCCATCTGTTGAGGAAGTACTGAAGGCGATCCGGAGTCTGAGACCAGGAAAGGCAGCGGGCAGAGATGATCTCCCAAGCGAAATGCTGAGGGAGGGTGGCGTTTGTGCACAGACTGCCCTATATGACATCATAACAACAGTCTGGACTGCTGGACAGGTTCCGCAGGATTGGAAGGATGCCCTGGTGGTCCCCCTCTTTAAGAAGAGGGACCGCACAGACTGTAACAACTACAGGGGCATCTCACTCCTCAGTGTGCCGGGAAAGGTCCTGGAAAGGATTATTCAGCATCGCCTTGCCAGGCACGCTGAGGAGAGGCTTGTGGAGCCCCAATGCGCTTTCAGGAAGGGCGGTCCTGCACAGATGCCATATTTTCTGTCCGTCTGCTACAGCAGAGGTGTAGAGAATTCCAACAAGACCTACATCTCTGCTTTATTGACCTGGTCAAGGCCTAGGAAACCATCAGTAGGCCTGGGCTCTGGGTTGTTCTTCGTGCTTTTGGAGTCCCTGACCCTCTGCTCACGATCATTAAGGACCTTCATGATGGTGAGTGGGCCCGGGTAAAACTACGTGGCCGGGAGTCAGAGCCATTCCCTGTACACTTTGGGGTGCGACAGGGATGTCCTCTGGCTCCCACATTATTTTACATCTATTTTGACCAGGTAGTTCGTGAAGCCTTCAATAGCTGTACTGGGGGAATCTCCATTTGGTACAGATTTAATGGGAGGCTGATCGATGCCCGGGTGCGGTCAAGGGATGGCTCCTTATTGCTCAACCACGTTATGTTTTCCGATTATTTGGTAATAGCTGCTCATTCAGAGGAGGAGTTGGAGACGCTGCTGTTGAGACTGGAGCGTGCCACTAAGAGATGAGGCCTTACCATCAGCCCCACCAAAACTAAGCACCTGCCTGGGTATTTTGTACCATTGGACACTCTACCCCCACAACTCCCAATCGGTGATGGGGCAGTTGTGGAGAGAGGGGAGAGTTTCCCATACCTGGGCAGTGTGCTTATGACCGGCTCCAGTTTAACAGCAGAGGTCTCACTCCGAATCAGTCGAGCGGCAATATCTTTTCATCGGTTGCGTAACGCTGTGTGGAAGCTACCTGGTCTGTCGCTGCGCACTAAGCTTCAGGTCTTCTCGGCCACAGTCATTCCCTCCCTTCTCTACGCTTGCGAAAAATGAATCCCCCTAATGGAACATCTTCGCCGGTTAGAAGCATTTAGGCTAGCCTGCCGACGATCCATCCTGGGTTTAACCAGGCTGGATTGTGTGAGGAGCTCACAAATCCTTCAAAGATCTGGGCAAGGTCCCATCGGTGAGCTCCTCCGGAAGGCAAGACTGTGTTGGCTGGGTCATGTAGCCCGCATGCCCAGCCACCGCATGCCTAAACAGCTTTTGTTCGGCCGGATCGAGGGGGCTAAACGGGCGCGGCACGGGCTAGAGAAGAGATGGAGTGATGTGGTACAGGAGGACGTGGAGCTGAGTGGACTTGCAAATGACTGCTACCAATGGTGTCAAGATCGGCCTCTGTGGAGGAGGCTCGTGAAGGACGCTACTGGGCAGTTGGAGGCAGTCGCCCTCCAACAACAACGGAGGGCGGAGGAGCGACGCTCACAACAACGAGCGGAGCGCCGGGTGGCTAAAGACAGCGGTTTGGCATAGTAGGGGGCACAGGTGGTGCATCAGCCAGTCATCTCAGTCATCTCAGTCAGTCGACCCGTGGCACCTGCTGGGTCTGCCCCGTGACCTCCTGCCAGCGGGCGTTCGACACTTCACGTGGCCTCAAGGTGCACATGGCCTGGCACAAGCGTCGTGGTGACGTCGCCGCCACTTAGTGGCGAATGGCGGTTGTTGTGTGCGTGTGTGCGTGTGACGCGCAGGGCTGGAGGTCTACTCCCACTACTGGCTGCAGGTGGCTGCCTGGACACTGCCTGGCGAGGGCCCTCGTAGCACACCAGTGATGCTCATCACCGACCAGGATGGTGAGCGCTCGCCACGTGCTCACCACGTGCTCACCACGTGCTCACCACGTGCTCGCCACGCGTTCGCCACGTGCTCGCCTCGCGTTCGCCACTCGCTCACCACGTGCCCACCACGTGCTTAACACACGCTCACCACGTGCTCGCCACACGCCCACGTGCTCGCCACATGCTCACCACGTGCTCACCACACGCTCGCCACGTGCTCACCACACGCTCGCCACGTGCTCACCACGCGCTCACCACGTGCATCTCGGTGCCGCTGTAACCGTGGCGACGGTGTGGCCGTGTGGGGCAGTGCCGGCGTCGCCGCCGCTGGACGTGACGATTGTGGCGGTGACGGCGAACTCGGCGAGCCTGGTGTGGCGCGCACCCACGCGGCCCAACGGCATCATCACGCAGTACACCGTCTACTACGGACTCAGCATCCCGGCGTGAGACACCACACACGCCTCACCGATGCCGCTCACCCAGCCACTCACCCACTCACTCACTCACTCGCCCAGCCATTCACCCACCCACTCAACCACTCGCTCAACCTTCAGCTTACTCACCCTACTGCTCACTAACCCTACCGCTCACTCACCCAACCACTCACTCACCCAACCACTCACCCTACCACTCACTCAACCTACCACTCACTCACCCTACCACGCACTCACCCAACCACTCACTCACCCTTCCACGCACTCACCCAACCACTCACTCACCCTACCACTCACTCACCCAACCACCCACTGACCCTACCGCTCACTCACCCTACCACTCACTCACCCAACCACTCACTCACCCTACTGCTCACTCGCCCTACCGCTCACTCACCCTACCACTCACTCACCCAACCACTCACTCACCTTACCGCTAACTCACCCTACCACTCACTTACCCTACCACCCACTGACCCTACGGCTCACTCACCCTACCACTCACTCACCCAACTACCCACTCGCCCTACCGCCCACTCACCCTACCACTCACTCACCCTACCACTCACTCACCCTACCGCCCACTCACCCTACTGCTCACTCACCCTACCACTCACTCACCAAACCACTCACTCACCCAACCACTCACCCTACCACCCAGTCACCCTACTGCTCGCTCACCCTACCACTCACTCACCCTACCACTCACTCACTCACTCACACTCCCCCCCCCCCGTGGGAGAGCCGTGTCGAGGTACCGCGAATCCCCGCCCGCAGGGAGGGGTCGGCACAGGCGGTGACACCGGCGGAGGAGCGCAGCGTGGCCGTGCCGGGGCCCGGCGTGACGCTCGGCGGCCTGCACGCGTTCTCGCGCTACCGCGTCACGCTCGGCGCCAGCACGCAGCGCGGGGAGGGCCTCGTGCGCAGCGCCGCCGTGGAGTTCACCACGCTGCCCGGCGGTACGGACGGTGACGCCGTCCGCCCCCCCCTCCCCCCGGCTCGTTACTCCCCCACCACCCCCACCACCCCCACCACCCCCACCACCCCCACGAACCACGGTGACGGCCGGCGGGCACTCGGCGTGTCCAGCTAACTAACTAGTAGCTATCTTCTTGGTTCTTTCGGTAAAGTCACGTAGAACCCTACTATATAGCTACTAGCTAGTAGATACTAGCTAGTAGCTATCTAGCTAGTAGCTATCTAGCTAGTAGCTAGATAGCTACTAGCTAGTAGCTATCTGGCTAGTAGCTATAGTATCTAGCTACTACCCAGATAGCTATCTGACTAGTAGCTAGATAGCTACTAGCCAGATAGCTATCTGGGTAGTAGCTATCTAGCTACTAGTCAGATAGCTATCTGGGTAGTAGCTAGATAGCTACTAGCTAGTAGCTATCTGGCTAGTAGCTATCTAGCTACTAGCCAGATAGCTACTAGCTAGTAGCTCTCTGGCTAGTAGCTATCTAGCTACTAGCCAGATAGCTACTAGACAGATAGCTGACTACTAGCCAGATAGCTATCTGGCTACTAGTCAGATAGCTATCTGGCTACTAGTCAGATAGCTACTAGCTAGCTATCTGACTAGTAGCTAGATAGCTATCTGGCTAGTAGCTATCTGGCTAGTAGTCAGCTATCTGTCTAGTAGCTATCTGGCTAGTCGCTAGATACTGTAGCTACTAGCCAGATAGCTACTAGCTAGTAGTATCTGGCTAGTAGCTAGTAACTAGATAGGTAGCAGCTGGATAGATAGTAGTTAGATAGCTACTATCTAGATAGCTATCTAGATAGCTACTATCTGGATAGCTATTAGCTCGTAGCTAGCTATCAGATGTGCAGGCAGTGAAATGTTGTGTTGGGCAGGTCTGCGCAACGGAACATCGTAACCATCATCATCGTCATCATCATCGTCACCATCATCGTCATCATCACCATCTTCACCATCATCGTCTCCTTCATCATCACCTTCATTATCACCACACCATCACCATCATCATCACCACCACCACCACCACCATCATAATCACCATCATAATCACCATCACCATCATCATCACCATGATCACCATCATCCTCACCCATCATAATCACCATCATAACCACCATCATCATCATCATCACTATGATCACCATCATCATCACCATGATCACCACCATCATCAGTAGCAGCAGCAGCCATGGTCAATCCGCTGCTGGATGAAAGCCGGCCTAACCCACCACCAGTTTTCACGGTACGATGATGTGTGGTGCAGTATGATGGCATGCAGCTTCGTGTGGTGTGACGATGTGTGGTGCGGGATACTGCGTGGTGCAGTTTGATATGACTTGTGGTGCAGTATGACACGTGGTGTGGTATAACACGTGGTGTGGTATGACACGTGGTGTGGTATGACGCGTGGTGCGGTATGACATGTTGTGCGGTATGACACGTGGAGCGGTACGACGCGCGGTGCGGTATGACACGTGGTGTGGTATGACACGTGGTGCGGTATGTCATGTTGTGCGGTATGACACGTGGTGCGGTATGACACGTGGTGTGGTATGACGCGTGGTGCGGTATGACATGTTGTGCGGTACGACGCGTGGTGCGGTATGACACGTGGTGTGGTATGACGCGTGGCTGGTACGACATGTGGTGCGTTATGACGCGTGGTGCGGTATGACGCGTGGTGCGGTATGACACGTTGTGCGGTACGACATGTGGTGCGGTACAACACGTGCTGCGGTATGACGCGTGGTGGCACACCCTCCCCCCCCCCCTCGCTCCGTGCCCACAGTCCCCGAGGACCCCCCCCGCAACGTGAGCTACCGCGCGCTGAGCGCCACCTCCGTGGAGCTGCGCTGGGCTGCGCCACTGCACCCCAACGGGGCGCTGGTGCTCTACACGGTGCACTACCGCAGCAACGCCAGCGCGGAGCGCACGCTGGTGGGCACCGTCGCCGCTACCACCACCACCGCCACTACCGCCACCGCTACCGCCAATGCTACTGCCACTGCCACCACCGCCGCGTTTCCCCCCGCCGTGTCTCACCCATTTCTCCTCCCTGTGTCTGTCCCCCCTGTGTCTCTCCCCGTGTCTCACTACCGTGTCTCACCACTGTCTCACCACCGCATCTCCCCCCGTGTCTCTCCCTGTGTCTCACTACCCCGTGTTTACCTCCCCCCCCGTGTCTCCCCCCCCCCCACCCCCCGTGTCCCCGGTAGAACGTGACGGCGTTCGGCTTGGAGGGGGGGTCTGCCGTGCTGGAGGGGCTCTCTCACCATGCTCGCTACGCCGTGTGGGTCACCGGCAGCACCGCGCTCGGAGATGGGGGCCAGCGCAGTGACACGCTCACCATCGACACTCCCGAGGGCGGTGCGCCGCTCGCTCACTTGCTCACACACTCACGTACTCACCCGCTTGCTCACCCGCTCGCTCGCATCGCCCGCTCACCTCGCTCACTCACTCACCCGCCCGCCCGCCCGCCCGCTCACTCGCTCACTCACTCACTCACCCGCCCGCCCGTCCGCTCACTCGCTCACTCACTCACTCACCCGCCCGCCCGCCCGCTCACTCGCTCACTCACTCACCCGCCCACCCGCTCACTCGCTCACTCACTCACCCGCCCGCCCGCCCGCTCGCTCGCTCGCCTGCCCGCTCGCCCGCCCGCCCGCTCACTCGCACGCTTGCTCACCTGCCCGCTCACCCACTTACCCGCCTGCTCACCCACCTGCTCACCTCGGTCACTCACTCACGTACTCGCACGCCCGCTCACCCGCCCGCTCACTCGCTCGCTCGGACGCCCACTCACCTCGCTCGCTCGCTCACTCACTCACTCACTCATGTACTTAGGCGCTCACTCGCCTCACTCACGCATACTCACCTCGCTCACCCCACGCGCTCAGATGCGCTCACACCTCCCTCACGACTTTTTCTGCCCCACCACTCCTGTACTACCACCACCAACCCACACCACCACCACAACCACCCCTGTGCCACCAGCACTCCCGCAACCAGCACCACACCCACAGCACCCTCACACCACCGCCATTCCTGTACTGTGTGTGTGTCCGTGTGCGGGTGGCGTGCGCCGCACACACACTCGGTCGGAGACGAGGTGGTCGGGGGAGGCACCTTCCTCTCCTTTCACTGTCGTTGAGTTCACGCCACAAACTCGGGCCCCCCCCCCTCCCCCCTCTCACGACCACGCTGCCCCACGACCCGGCCCAGACACGACCCGGCCCGCGTTGCGCCGACGGCGTCGACCGGGACGGCCGACCGCTGTCGGGCGACGACGAGATGGGTCCGCTCCCAGAATCGGCAGCCCGGAGCTCCCAACTCTCCGCCACTTTTGTTCCCCTTCTCGAACTACTCACCAGAGGGTGCCAGGGGCCTCCCCCGCGAGATCCACCGTGACCCTTGCCCCAGTTCCTCCGCCCTGCCAGCACACACAGCCACGCACACGCTCAACGGCGTGTGCGCTAAGTGCCCACCAACAGTCAGCGCTGTGTCACTACACCAGCAACACCACCACCACCACAACCATTACTGTACCACCACCACCACCATTCCTGTACCACCACCACCATTCCTGTACTACCACCATCACCCCCACACCACCACCACCACCCCCACACCACCACCACCACCACCCCTACACCACAACCACCCCCACACCACCACCACCACCACCCCTACATCACCACCACCACCCCCCCCCCCACACCACCACCACCCCTACACCACAACCACCCCCACACCACCACCACCCCCACACCACCACCACCCCCGTGCTAATTGCCCCCCCCCCCCCCCGGCCCCGCAGTGCCAGGCTCCGCGGTGCTGGCGCTCTCCGTGGTGCACCTGTCGCCGTCGCTGGTGCGGCTGTCGTGGCTGCCCCCGGCGGAGCCCAACGGCGCCATCGCCGCCTACTCGGTGGAGCTGCGGCAGGCTGGCCCGGCCTACGCCGGCGCCGGCGCCGGCGCCGAGCCCGGCGCCGCCGCCGGGGCCGACTCGGCGGCGATGAGGAGGAGCGCCTACAGCGTCGGCGCTCCGCCCCTGGCCGTGGACGGCCTGCTGCCGTTCACGGCCTACGCCGCGGCCGTGACGGCGCGCACCGGCGCCGGGCCGGGCCCCCCGGCGTCGCTCGCCTTCGTCACCAGCGAGGGAGGTGGGCGGCACTGTGGGGCGGGGGGGGGGGGTGGGGGGTGGGAGGGGCGTGGGGGAGGAGAAGTGGTGGGGTGTGGTGGGTGGGGGGGTGGTGGTTTTGGGGACACGGCACGGGACACCCCCCCGCCTAGGGTACCCCCCCAAAATATTATTTAGAGTGGGGGGTGGTGGGTCGCGGGGGGTGGTGGGGTAGGGTGGGGCGTTCCGGGGGACACGGGACCCCCCCAGGACCCCCCCAGGACCCCCCCAGGACCCCCCCAGGACACCCCCAGGACACCCCCAGGACACCCTCAGGACCACCCCCAGAACACCCCCAGGACCCCCCCAGGACCCCCCCAGGACACCCCCAGAACCCCCCCAGGACCCCCCCAGGACACCCCCAGAACCCCCCCAGGACACCCCCAGAACCCCCCCAGGACCCCCCCAGGACCCCCCCCCTAATATTATTTGACGTGGCGGACGGCGGTGGGGGGCGTCCCTCTCTCTGCACCGGCAGTGCCCGAGGACGGCGTCCGGGACCTGCGCTACGCCAACGTCACCGCGCGGTCGGTCAACGTGACGTGGTCGCCGCCGCTGCGGCCTAACGGGCGCCCGCTCTACCGGGTGGCCCTGCTGGGCCCCTTCTTCGGCAACGGCACCAACGGCGGCAACGGCACCGCGGCGCTGTCGGTGGGCGCCGGCGCCGCCGCCGGCGGGCTGCTCCTGACGGGCCTCCGCAAGTATTCGCGCTACGAGCTGGAGGTGCACGTCGCCACTGGGCAGGGCCACGCCGCCAACGGCAGCGGCGTGGCGCGGATCGACATCCTCACTGACGAGGACGGTGAGGAGCGGGGGGGGGGGGAGGGGTGGGGAGGAGGGAGGGGAGGTGGAGGGGAGGGGAGGGGTGAGGAGGAGGGGTAGGAGGGGAGGGAGGGGGTGGAGGTGGGGGGAGGAGGAGGGAGGGGTGGAGGAGGAGGGGTGAGGAGGAGGGGGGGGGGCAGGGAGGGAAGGGCGTGAGGTCAATGTCCGGTGAGGGGGGATGGGGGGGATGGGGGGGATGGAGGGGGGTGGGGTGGACGTCTTTTGGCTCGATCAGAATCGCATCCAGGATCTTCACCGGCCGTCCCCTTCACGGAGGGCCCACGGGGGCCCTCCGTGAAGGGAGCGGCTCGGCCCGGCACGCCGTGACGACAAGTGGCGGTCCGTGGGTTCGCAGCGCCGGACTCGCCGCCGGCGTCTCCGGCGGCTCGGAGCGTGGGCCCCGGGGCCCTGGCGCTGTCGTGGGCCCCGCCGGCGCTGCCCAACGGCGTCGTGGTCGCCTACGAGATCGCGGTAGCGCCCGCCGACGCCGCCGCCGCCGCCGCCGCCGCGCCGGGCGGGCGGCGCAACCTCACCGTGGCCGGCGACGCCGCCGGCGCCACCGTGGCCGGCCTGGCGCCCTCCACCGCGTACAACGTGTCGTTGGCGGCACGCACCAGCCGCGGCTCGGGGCCCGCCGTGGTGTTCGGAGCCGTCACGCAGGAGGGAGGTGAGCGCTGGAGCGTCGCTCGCGCGCTCACACACACACACACTCACACTAACACTCACACATACACTCACACATACACACACTCACACATACACTCACACACACACTCACTCATACACACACTCACACATACACTCACTCACACACACATACACTCACACATACACTCACTCACACACTCATACACTCACTCATACACTCACATACTCACTCACTCACACATACACTCACACATACACTCACTCACACACACATACACTCACACATACACTCACTCACACACTCATACACTCACTCATACACTCACATACTCACTCACTCACACATACACTCACACATACATACACTCACACATACACTCACACATACACTCACTCACACACTCATACACTCACTCATACACTCACTCACACATACATACACACACACTCACTCACACATACACTCACTCACACTCTCATACACACACTCATACACTCACATACTCACTCACTCATACACTCACACATACACACACTCGCTCACACACTCACTCGCTCACACACTCACTCACACACACACTCACACACACACTCATACATACACTCACATACTCACTCACACATACCCACACTCACACATACCCACACTCACACATACACTCATACACTCACTCACACTCTCACACATACACACACTCACACACACTCACACATATACACACACTCACTCACACACTCACACATACACACACTCACTCACACACTCACACATACACACACTCACTCACTCATACACAACAACAACCGCCATTCGCCACTAAGTGGCGGTGACGTCACCACGACGCTTGTGCCAGGCTATGTGCACCCTGAGGCCACGTGAAGTGTCGAACGCCCGCTGGCAGGAGGTCACGGGGCAGAGCCAGGTGCCACGGGTCGACTGACTGAGATGACTGGCTGATGCACCACCTGTGCCCCCTACTGTGCCAACCTGCTGTGCTTCAGCCACCCGGCGCTCCACTCGTTGTGAGCGTCGCTCCTCCGCCCTCCGTTGTTGTTGGAGGGCGACTGCCTCCAACTGCCCAGTAGCATCCTTCACGAGCCTCCTCCACAGAGGCCGATCTTGACACCGCTGGTACCAGTCATCGGCAAGTCCACTCAGCTCCACGTCCTCCTGTACCACGTCACTCCATCTCTTCTCTAGCCCGTGCCGTGCCCGTTCAGCCCCCTCGATCCGGCTGAACCACAGCTGTTTAGGCATGCGGTGGCTGGGCATGCGGGCTACATGACCCAGCCAACGCAGCCTTGCATGCTGAAGGAGCTCACCGATGGGACTTTGTCCAGATCTTTCAAGGATTTGTGAACTCCTCACACAATCCAGCCTGGTTAAACCCAAAATGGATTGTAGGCAGGCCAGCCTAAATGTTTCGAACCGGCGAAGATGTTCCATTAGGGGGGTCCACGTTTCGCAAGCATAGAGGAGGGAATGACTGTGGCCGAGAAGACCTGAAGCTTCGTGCAGAGCGATAGACCAGGTAGCTTCCACACAGCATTGCGCAACCGATGAAAAGATAATGCCGCTCGACTGATTCGGAGTGAGACCACTGCTGTTAAACCGGAGCCGATTATGAGCACACTGCCCAAGTATGGGAAACTATCCACTTTCTCCACAATTGCCCCATCACTAATTGGGAGTTTTGGGGGTGGAGTGTCCGATGGTACAAAATATCCAGGCAGGTGCTTAGTTTTGGTGGGGCTGATGGTAAGGCCCCAGCTCTTAATGGCACGCTCCAGGTTCAGCAGCAGTGCCTCCAACTCCTCCTCTGAGTGAGCGGCAATTACCAGATCGTTGGCATACGTAACTTGGTTGACCAATAGGGAGCCATTCCTTGACCACACCCGGGCATCTATCAGCCTCCCATTGTATCTGTACCAGATGGAAATTCCTCCGGTACAGCTATTGAAGGCTTCACGAACAACTTGGTTAAAATAGATGTTAAATAATGTGGGAGCCAGAGGACATCCCTGTCGCATTAACACAACAACAACAACCGCCATTCGCCACTAAGTGGCGGTGACGTCACCACGATGCTTGTGCCATGCTATGTGCACCTTGAGGCCACGTGAAGTGTCGAATGCCCGCTGGCAGGAGGTCACGGGGCAGACCCAGGTGCCCCGGGTCGACTGACTGAGATGACCGAGATGACTGGCTGATGCACCACCTGTGACCCCTACTGTGCCAACTTGCTGTGCTTTAGCCACCCGGCGCTCCGCTCGTTGTTGTGAGCGTCGCTCCTCCGCCCTCCGTTGTTGTTGGAGGGCGACTGCCTCCAACTGCCCAGTAGCGTCCTTCACGAGCCTCCTCCACAGAGGCCATACTTGACACTGCTGGTACCAGGCATCGGCAAGTACACTCAGTTCCACGTCCTCCTGTACCACATCACTCCATCTCTTCTCTAGCCCATGCCGCGCCTGTTTAGCTCCCTCGATCCGGCTGAACAAAAGCTGTTTGGGCATGCGGTGATTGGACATGCGGGCTACATGACCCAGCCAATGCAGCCTTGCCTGCCGGAGGAGCCCACCGATGGGACCTTGCCCAGATCTTTCAAGGATTTGTGAGCTCCTCACACAATCCAGTCTGGTTAAACCCAGGATTGATCGTAGGCAGGCCAGCCTAAATGTTTCTAACCGGCGAAGATGTTCCATTGGGGGGGTCCACGTTTTGCAAGCACACTCACTCGCACTCACCATCGCTGACACGCTCACACAAACACACTCGGGGTGGTGTCGAGGAACGAGCCGAGTGTCTTTGTTGTGTCTATGTCATTCTATGGTTGTCTGTGTAAGTCTGTGGTTGCCTATGCAAGTCTATGGGTCTCTATGCGAGTCTATGTGGGGAGCGGTGGTGTAGCGGCGAGCGCACTGCACTATGAACCCGGCGACTCGGGATCGATTCTCGCTCACGGCAACTGGTCATGGGCCTCCCCTAGGTCGACTCGGCCTCAAATAAGTACCTGGTGCGGTGTGTAAACATCGCCGCTGGGGAGACAAAGGCGTCCGGGCGTGTGTGTTGGTCACCCACCCCTTTGTGTGCCGTGCCGGCCTTCGTAGGTGCTGCTCGCTAACAGCACTTGTCCCCTACAGTCTGTTACAGACTACATGGGGGATCTTTGTCTTTGCTGTATAGGTGGTGCTCACTAACAGTACTTGCCCCGACAGTCTGTTGCAGGCTACACGGGGGATCTTTGTCTTTGCTGTATAGCTGCTGCTCGCTAACAGCACTTGCCCCTACATTCTGTTACAGGCTACACGGGGGATCTTTGTCTTTGCTGTATAGGTGCTGCTCGCTAACAGCACTTGCCCTTACATTCTGTTACAGGCTACACGGGGGGTCTTTGGCTTTGATGAAGATTATGGTGGTTGTGGTGGCGGTGGTTGTGGTGGTGACGGTGGTTGTGGCGGTGACGGTGGTTGTGGCGGTGACGGTGGTTGTGGCGGTGACGTTGGTTGTGGTGGTGGTTGTGGTGGTGACGGTGGTTGTGGCGGTGACGGTGGTTGTGGCGGTGACGGTGGTTGTGGCGGTGACGGTGGTTGTGGCGGTGACGGTGGTTGTGGTGGTGACGGTGGTGGTGACGGTGGTTGTGGTGGTGGCGGTGGTTGTTGTGGTGACGGTGGTTGTGGCGGTAGTGACTCCATTTCAGACCGGGAGCAATCGGACGGCCTCACCATTCTGGCAATTTGCCTGATGATGCTGGATGTAATTACCAGCGACACGTCGAACATCATTTTGTAAATGACGTTGATTCACTCTTCAACACACTCAAGCAGTGAACTATTGTTTTTTTTTTGCAAACGTGACGCATTTTTGTTACTGTTGGGCCGTGTCGGGTGGTGGAGGGTTACGACGCATTTATAAATAACGCGGTCTAACCCCAAAGCAACCTTTATTACGAATAACATTGGTTGCGAAAGCCTACGTGCTAAACTGACGGTGGTCGTGTTGGCGGTGGTGGTGACGGCGGCGGCGGCGGCGGTGACGCTGGTAGCGGCGGCGGCGGTGACGCTGGTAGCGGCGGCGGCGGTGACGCTGGTAGCGGCGGCGGCGGTGACGCTGGTAGCGGCGGCGGCGGTGACGCTGGTAGCGGCGGCGGCGGTGACGCTGGTAGCGGCGGCGGCGGTGACGCTGGTAGCGGCGGCGGCGGTGACGCTGGTAGCGGCGGCGGCGGTGACGCTGGTAGTGCCCCTCTCCCCCCGCGCCCTCCCCCCTCCAACCCTCCGCTAGAACCGTCCCTGCCCCCACACTCGCCGCTGCTGTGGAACGTCTCCTCGACGTCGGCCTGGGTGCGGTGGGCCCCCTCGCCGGCGCCCAACGGCGCGGTGCTGCTCTACGGCGTCACCGTCACCGAGGACACCGGCGCCGCCCGGCAGAGCCGCACCCTGGTGAGCGCCGCACAGCGCCGGGCCCCCGGACTCGCGGAGGGGCGGCGGGAAAATTGCAGGTGGGAGGGTGGGGGGGGCCGGTCCATTCCGAGGGCGGCTGCTATGACGCCGTGGGTATAACGAATGAACAACGAACCAATTAAGCAATGCTGCTGATACTGATGATGATGATGCTGATGATGATCATGCTGCTGCTGATGATGCTGCTGATAATGATGCTGCTGCTGATGATACTGCTGCTACTGATGCTGCTGCTGATACTGCTGATGCTGCTGCTGCTGATGATGTTGATGATGTTGATGATGATGCTGATGATACTGCTGCTGCTGATGCTGCTGATGATGCTGCTGCTGATGCTGCTGATGCTGCTGATGATGATGCTGCTGCTTGCTGATGATGATGCTGCTGATGCTGCTGCTGCTGCTGATGTTGCTGCTGCTGATGATGATGATATTGTCGCTGTGTAGAACACGACAGGAGCTGACCCCTGGGTGGAGCTCGTGGGCCTTCGGCCGTTCACCAACCACTCAGTGAGTGTGGCGGCCTTCACGGCCGCGGGCAACGGAGGGCTGAGCAGCACTCCCCTTGCCTTCACCACCGCCATGGCCGGTAAGTCGCCCCGCTGTGTCCCCCACGTGTCTCCCTACCGTGTCTCCCACGTGTCCCCCACGTGTCTCCCTACCGTGTCTCCCACGTGTCCCCCACGTGTCTCCCTACCGTGTCTCCCACGTGTCCCCCACGTGTCTCCCTACCGTGTCCCCCACGTGTCTCCCTACCGTGTCCCCCACGTGCCTCCCTACCGTGTCTCCCTACCGTGTCTCCCTACCGTGTCTCCCACGTATCCCCCACGTGTCTCCCTACCGTGTCTCCCTACCGTGTCTCCCTACCGTGTCTCCCTACCGTGTCTCCCACGTGTCCCCCACGTGTCTCCCACGTGTCTCCCACGTGTCTCCCTACCATGTCTCCCACGTGTCTCCCTACCGTGTCACCCACGTGTCTCCCTGCTGTGTCTCCCTACCGTGTCACCCCGCGCGCATCACCCCCTGCGTCACTCCACCCCCCCGTGCGTCACTCCACCCCCCTTGTGTCACTCCGCCCCCGTGCGTCACTCCATCCCTCCGTGTGTCACTCCATCCCTCCGTGCGTCACTCCAACCCCCCTGTGTCACTCCGCCCCCGTGCGTCACTCCATCCCTCCGTGTGTCACTCCATCCCTCCGTGCGTCACTCCACCCCCGTGCATCACTCCACCCCCGCCGTGCGTCACTCCCCCCCCCCCCCCTCCGTGCGTCTCCACGTAGCCCCCGGCCCCGTGCTCAACCTGAGCTGCGCCGCCTCGAGTTGGCACGAGGTGTCCGCGACGTGGTCGGCGCCGGCCCAGCCCAACGGGCCACTCTCCGGCTACCGCCTCTCGCTGGCGGCGGCGGCGTTGGCGGTGGAGCGGCTGGTGCCGCCGGCGGGGCTCTCCGCGCTGTGGGACCGCCTCCCGGCGGACACGGAGGTCCGCGTCACCGTCGCGGCCTACAACCCCGCCGGCCTGGGGAGCAACCGCAGCTGCGTGGCGCGCACGGAGGCCGAGCAAGGTGGGCTAACGGGCCACCTGGCAACTGGGCAACCTGGCAACCTGGGAACTTGGCAACATGGGAACCAGGCAACCAGACAACCTGGCAACCAGGCAACCTGGCAACATGGGAACCTGGCAACATGGGAACCAGGCAACCAGGCAACATGGGAACTAGGCAACCAGGCAACATAGGAACCAGGCAACCAGGTAACCTGGCAACCAGGCAACATGGGAACTAGGCAACCAGGCAACCTGGCAGCCTGGCAACCAGGCAACATGGGAACTAGGCAACCAGGCAACCTGGCAACCAGGCAACCTGGCAACCTGGCAACCAGGCACCATGGGAGCCAGGCAACCTGGCAACCTGGCAACTTGGGAACCTGGGAACCTGGGAACCAGGCAACCTGAAACCAGGCAACCAGGCAAACTGGCAACCTGGCAACCTGGCAGCCTGGGAACCAGGCAACCAGGCAAACAGACAACCTAGGAACCAAGCAACCTGGGAACCAGGCAACCTGGAAACCAGGCATGCAGGCAATCAGCCAGCCAGGTAACTGGCCAATTGGGCAACCAGGCAATTAGGCAACCAAGCAACTATACAAATGGGCAACTGGGAAACTGGGCAACCGAGCAAGCAGGCAACTGAGCAACCAGGCAACTGGGTAGCCGGGCAACTGGGCAACCAGTCAACTAGGCAACGGAGAAACTGGGCATCCAGCCAATCGGGCAACCGGCCAATGAACCAGGTAATCGGATGACTGGGCAGCCAGGCATTGAAGCAAATGGGCAATGGATTCTGTCGTGACCATTGTGTTGATTGTGAACCACCCCCCACCTGCCCCGCCCCCCACCCCCCCATCCCCCCACCCACCCCCCGTTTTAGTCCCCGGCGCCCCATTGCCCCCGCAGCTGCTGGCGCTGGGCGCCACGTGGGCGGCGCTGAGCTGGCGCGCCCCGGCCCTGCTGCCGGGCCGGCTGGCGCGCTACTCCGTGTCGTGGGAGCTGCGCTCGGCGGCGTGCGCCGGCTGGGAGCCCGCGGCGGCCTGCGCCGAGGCGGCCGGCGGCGCCGACGCGCTGCCGGCCGCCCGCACGGAGCTGCGCGTGGACGGCCTGCGCCCGTACCGCTGGTACCGCTTCCGAGTGGCGGCCGCCACCGGCGCGGGCCTGGGTCCGGCGTCCGAGTGGAGCGCGGCGCGCACGGCCGTGGGAGGTGAGTGCGCTCGGGCGCCCACCGCGCCCACCGCGCCCACCGCGCACGGTGCGCCGCGCCGTAGGTTGGCCAGGCCGCGCCTCGCCAGGCCGAAGCACGTCGCAGCACCATGACCTAACCGGACCGCTTGCCGGGCTTGCCGGGCTTGCCGGGCTGCGCCACCGTGACCGCGGCGCAGTGCGGCGCTCCGACCGCACGGCACCAGCCAAAAGTGTTTCTCACCAAAACCACCACACCGTGATTCCGTGGCCAAGGTGTAGAACCGTCACCCGGGTCAGTGCCAGGGTCAAGGTTAGGGTCAGCATTAGGGTCAGGTTTGGGGTTAGGGTCAGGGTTCAGGGCAGAGTCAGGGTCATGGTCAAGGTTAGGGTCAAGGTTAGGGTCAGGGTCAAGGTTAGGGTCAGGGTCATGGTTCGGGTTGGGGTCGATGTCAGGCTTGTGGGTCGAGCCGGTTGCACCATCGTGTGTGATTGGGTCAGGGTTCGGGTCAGGGTCATGGTTCAGGTCGGGGTCAGAGTTCAGGTCAGGGTCATGGTTAGGTTCAGGGCCAGTGTTAAGATCAGCATCAGGGTTATAGTCAGGGTCAGGGTCATGGTTCGGGTCGGGGTCAGAGTTCAGGTCAGGGTCATGGTTAGGTTCAGGGCCAGCGTTAAGATCAGCATCAGGGTTATAGTCAGGGTCAGGGTCAGGGTTCGGGTCGTGCCGGCCGTCGTGGGAGCTGGGCTCAGGCTCGGCGTGGCCGGCGCTGTGACCGGGCCGGCTCTCGTCTGTCACCCCGGCAGCCCCCGGCATGGCGCCAGTGAACGTGACGGCGGTGGCCGTGGCCGCCGACGCCATCATGGTGTCCTGGGGGGAGCCCCCCACGCTGGCGGGGCCCACCTTCTACTTGGTGCAGGTGGGTCACCGCCATCACCACCATCTCATCATCATCACCATCATCATCATCACCATCATCATGATCACCATCATCATCATCGCCATCATCATCGCCATCATCATCATCATCACCATCATCATCATCACCATCATCACCACCATCTCATCATCAACATCATCATCATCATCACCGCCATCATCATCACCATCATCACCATCATCAACACCATCTCATCATCACCACCATCATCATCATCGCCATCACCATCATCACCATCACCGCCATCATCATCACCATCATCACCATCATCAACACCATCTCATCATCACCACCATCATCATCATCGCCATCACCATCATCACCATCATCATCGCCATCATCATCATCGCCATCATCATCATCGCCATCATCATCATCGCCATCATCATCATCGCCATCATCATCACCATCATCATCACCACCATCATCACCACCATCATCCTCACCATCATCATCACCATCATCATCACCATCATCGCCACCACCAGCATAATCATCATCATCACCACCAGAATCATCACCACCACCATCATCATCACCACCATCATCATCATCACCACCATCATCATCATCACCACCACCATCATCATCATCACCACCACCACCATCATCATCATCATCACCACCACCATCATCATCATCATCACCACCACCATCATCATCACCACCATCATCATCACCACCATCATCATCATCACCATCATCATCACCACCACCATCACCACCAGCATAATCATCATCATCACCACCACCAGAATCATCACCACCACCATCACCACCAGCATAATCATCACCACCACCATCATCATCACCACCATCACCACCATTACCACCATCACCACCACCATCACCATCATCACCATCATCATCACCATCACCACCATCATCATCACCATCATCATCATTATCATCACCACCACCATCACCACCACCATCATCATCACCACCATCACCACCATTACCACCATCACCACCACCATCACCATCACCACCATCATCATCACCATCATCATCACCATCACCACCATCATCATCACCATCATCATCACCATCATTATCATCACCACCACCAGCATCATCATCATCATCACCACCACCATCACCACCAGCATCATCATCATCACCACCAGAATCATCACCACCACCATCACCACCAGCATAATCATCACCACCACCATCATCATCACCACCATTACCACCATCACCACCACCATCACCACCACCATCATCACCATCATCATCACCATCACCACCATCATCATCACCATCATCATCACCATCATTATCATCACCACCACCATCACCACCAGCATCATCATCATCATCATCACCACCACCATCACCACCAGCATCATCATCATCACCACCATCATCACCATCATCATCACCATCATCATCACCACCATCATCACCATCATCACCACCATCACCACCACCTTCCTCATCGTCCAGGTGGGTCACGCCATGCACACCAAACACCATTAGGGCCGACATCAAAACCATCATCACCCACCACCATCCGGTGTCGGGGAGACGTTTGCCCGTCGTTCCGCGTCACGCCCTGAGAGTCGCAACGCGTCGCCCTCGGCCGCGTCTCTCGCCACTCGATCCCTCGACGGGCCGTCGACGGGGGCCCCACGGGGGAAGCGACGAACCGATTGACCGCCGGCTCATCCACCTCAACAAGGCGCCCCCCCCCCACCCCCACCGCCTCCACCACCCTCCACTACTTCACCTCCACGCATCCATCACTGCGGCGCCCATCAGCGTGACGGTGCCAGATCCATCCCTCCGTCTCACCGCCGGTCTCACCGCCGTGGCCGCCGCCGCCGCCGCCGCCCGCGGTGTCGGGCGTCGCGTTACGGCGCCGCGCCCATCACTGTCGCCGCGTGCCGTCCTGACGATTGGTCACCGGTGTCAACGCGCCCGGGGATCGCTCGCTCGGTCGCTCGCTCGCTCGCTCAGTCGGCTCGCTCGCTCGATCGATCGATCGCTGGGGTTTGAATGTCCCCCCGCGTTCGTGTCGCCCGCGCACTTGCTCGTCCGTCCGTCCGTCCGCGCGTGTGCTCCTCGTCGGCGTGTGCCCGTTTCCGTGCTCCCCGTGCGTGTGTCCACACACGTGTGTCTACACACGTGTGTGGACACACGTGTGTAGACACCACCTTCCTCATCATCATCACCACCACCATCACCACCAGCATAATCATCATCATCACCACCAGACACACGTGTGTCCACGTGTCCGCGCATCCATGCCTGTTTCCATGCTCGTGTCCGTGCGCGCGTGTGTGTGTGTGTGTGCGTCCGTTGTGTCCGCGTGTCCGCGTGTGTCGGTGTGTCCGCGTGTGTCGGTGTGTCGGCGTGTCCGCGTGTGTCGGCGCGTCTCCACGTCCGTTGCGTCGCGACGTGCCGCCGCCAGGTGTCGAGCGGTGAGCGGAACCGTTCGGTGGACGTGCGGAACGAGACGCGGCGCTGGGCTCGTGTCGACGGCCTGGAGCCGGCCACGCGCTACGCCGTGTGGGTGGCGGCCTACACCGACACGCCGGCCGCGGGCCTCGCCGGGCCGCCCGTCTCCGTGCTCACGCCGCAGGCAGGTGGGTGCGGCCGCTGGGCACGCGACGGCCAAAAGGCCGTCACCCCCCGCAAGGCCGTCGGGGGCCGGGCGTCCGTTAGCGAGCGGCGTCACCACCTGTGAAGGCCGGCACCGCACACGTCGGGGGGGGGTGGGTGGGCAGCGCCGCGCCAGGCCGCCTTTGTCTCCCCAGTGGGCGATGTTTACTACACACACCGCACCAGGTACTCATTTGAGGCTGAGTCGACCTAGGGGAAGCCCAGGAAGCAGTTCAGATGATCGTCACCGGTGGTGGCCGTGAGCGGGAAAGCGAACTTGGGTTGCCGGGTTCGTAGCGCAGCGTAGCGCTAACCGCCACGCACACACGCACGTACAGTACCTACGCACAATTGCACTTACCTACGCACACACACGCGTGTACCTACACACACACACGTGCACACACACACACGTTCACACACACACACACGTTCACACACACACACACGTTAACACACATGCACACACGTGCACACGCGCACGTTCAATCGCGCACACACGTTCACACGCGTACACACGTTAACACACACATGTAGCACACGTTCACACACACACACGTTCACACACACGCGCACGTTCACACACACACACACACGTTCACACACACACACACGTTCACACACACACACGTTCACACACACGCACACGTTCACACACACACGCACACGTTCACACACGCGCACACGTTCACACACACGCACACGTTCACACACACGCGCACGTTCACACACACGCGCACACACACACACAGAAAGCCACCGACGTCCCCGGGGCGTCGTCGAAGCCGACACTCGGAAACTCGACCGCGGTGCGGAGAGTGGCAACATCGCCCCCATTGCATCTCCTCGCCCTCGCCACTCTCATGGGGTGACGGGGAGCCTGGTTGGGGGGAGGGGGGGTATTGATTTTAATATTCTCTTGCTGGTGTTCAAGGGCTTCAGGGTTCTTAGCCTGGGGTGCATCTCCCTGGAGGGTGCGAGGTGCCCTGTCTGGGGAAGAGGGGACATGGTCAGATTCTTTTTTTCACAAGATGATTCATCGAAACAAATAAAGTCACGGCAACGTGAGCACGCAGCTCACTTTGTTTCATCAACCCCCCCTATGTGGTTATTAACATCGTACTTTTTTTTTACGCTTGAGAATCAAAGGGGAGCAAGGCTGCAGTAAAGTTTAAGAACCATTGAAATACACTATACACTACACTATACACTATACACTACACTATACACTACACTATACACTACACTATACACTACACTATACACTACACTATACACTACACTATGCTATACACTATGCTATACACTATACTATACACTATACTATACACTATACTATACACTATACACTACTATACACTACACTATACACTACACTATACACTACACTATACACTACACTATACACTATACACTACACTGTACACTACACTATACACTACACTATACACTACACTATACACTACACTATACACTACACTATACACTACACTATACACTATACTATATACTAGATTACTATACACTACACTATACACTACACTATACACTACACTATACACTACACTATACACTACTATACACTACACTATACACTACAGTACAGACTACACTACTATACACTACACTATACACTACACTATACACTACACTATACACTACACTACTATACACTACACTACTATACACTACACTACTATACACTACACTACTATACACTACCCTACACACGACACCACTATACACTACACTATACACTACACTACTATACACTACACTATACACTACACTACTATATACTACACTACTATATACTAGACTACTATACACTACACTACTATACACTACACTAATATACACTACACTACTATACACTACACCACTACACTACTATACACTACACTACTATACACTACACTATACACTACACTATACACTACACTATACACTTCACTACTATACACTACACTACTATACACTACACTATACACTACACTATACACTACACTACTATATATTACACTACTATACACTACACACGACACCACTATACACTACACTATACACTACACTATACACTACGCTATACACTACACTAGTGGTTCTGAACCTGGGGTGCACTTGGCACCCCCTGGGGAATGCGAGATGCCCTTTCTGGGGGGTGCGAGACATGGCCAGACTTTTTTTAGAAGATAAATAATCGAAAACACAAATTAAGCACGGGGCAATGTAAGTAACAACTTACTTTGTTTCACTAAACCCTCTACGTAGGTGTAACATTGTACTTTGTTTTTTACTAATGAGCACCAAAGTCGAGCAAGGCCACAGTCAAAGTTAAAAGAACCACTGCACACTTCTACACACTACACTACAACGAATTATTACTGGCACACTACTACACACTACAACGAATTATTACTGGCCAAGACTCGTGAGAGAATCGATCGAAATTGAGAAGAATTCAAATAATTTCAACCGCTGTGATATCTACAGACTCGGCGCAGCCTGGAAGTGTATTCATAAGTAATACACATTGCAATTCCTTACAGGTGAGTCACATCCTAAGTGGCTGATTACTGATCTATTACATAATACTCCGCCTCTGATTTCGAATCCTGATGGGGTTCAACAATGATGACATCATCATCCTGCACTATTTAAGATCGGAAGCAGGTGGATGGCTTCCCTAGTCTGGCAAATCGCCCGAAGATTCTGTATGTAATTACCAGCGAAACGTCGTACTGCTCAAATTGTAAATGTCGTGGATCCACTCTTCACCACACCGGTGGGCTGAAGTTGTGAACTATTTGTCTTTTTCTTCTTTGGTTCTTTCGGTAAAGTCACGTAGAATGAGAATAAAATAATAAATTGATAAAATAAAATAACACAATAATATTCAATAATAATAATAATGATATTCTGAGAATATTTGGCGTCTTCTGGTCCAACACCAGTGGAGATGAGGCTCTAAGAAAAGCTGTCTCGGGTGTGGACCAATGAAATTCAAGGACAGTGCATATTATTATCAGAGTTGTCTCTTTTGTTTGCATTTTGACTGCTTGTGTTGTGGTTATTGCAAACATGATGCCTTGAATAAAGGTGTCAGTTTTGTGCCAGTTAAAAGGGTAAAACCTATTACTATATCCACTATTGTCTTGATTTGAAGCTTTCGTGACTGCAGGAATCCATACTCTTTGGTTCTGTTCGGTAGAGTCACGTAGGTAGAAAATTATATCCTGTGACTCTCCGAGTTGCATTATTAGGTTGGATGTCTGTGTATTGACGGGCTTGATGTCCTTCTCGCTCAGCCACCGATGCTGCTATCCTCTCACAAAACAATAGCCACTTCCACAGCCTCAGGCAGACCATCTCTAGCCCCCGCCGCCCTCTTACCCTTGAGGCTGCACCCATCTCAGGCCTACATAAGGCCTTGTTCCAGTAGCTTTCACTCTCTCTCTCTCACCTGAAGACGGTCGCCTGTGTTGCGATCGAAACGTCGTGATCTTTAACTAATTTTCTATCTACGTGACCTTACCGAAAGAACCAAAGAGTCACTGTGCACTATACATGACCTTAAATGGACTTCTTGCATCCTCCCTACACTCGTGACCTCCTCCAGCCGTACACCGCATGGAGGTCGTGAAGATCCTCAGAGTGTGCATCGCTCACCGTTCCCCACGGTCGCTCGGCTTCACCCACGGCGGGGCGGTGCCGCGGTGCCTTTGCCACCGTGGCACCGGGACGAGCTCCCCGTTTCCGCCCCCCCCCCCCCACACCCCCCTTGGAGGTCAGAGATGCATCGTCAAATGTCGACTTAAAAACTAAAATGGCCCTTAGTCTTCTCTCTCTCTTCGGTTAATGTCGGAAACGTCTCTCTCACCCCTTTCCTTTCCTCGGCCGATGCCAAGCAACTTTTGTCCGTCTTTTTCCACGCACTGCAATTCATGAATTGGACGAGCGTGAATTATCGTTATCGCTCGTGATTATCATTCCCCTTGTTCTCGAGAGGGCCACTATCAACCCAACCACCCACAACTCTGCGGGGGTAGAACCGCAGACCCACAGACTCACGTAGATACCCATAGACTCACATCGAGACCCTTAGACTCACATAGAGACCTGTAGACTCATATAGAGACCCTTAGATTCACATAGAGACCCTTAGACTCACATAGACCCATAGACTCACATAGAGACCCACAGACTCACATAGAGGCCCACAGACTCACATAGAGAACCGCAGACTCACATAGAGACCCACAGAGACCCACAAATTCAAAGAGACCCATAGACTTGCATAGAGACCTATAGACTCACATAGAGATCCACAGACTCCAATAGAAACCTATAGACTCACATAAAGACCCATAGACTTGCGTAGAGACCAACAGACTCACATAGAGACCCATAGACTCACATAGAGACCCATAGACTCGCATAGAGACCCATAGACTCACATAGAGACCCACAGACTCCAATAGAAACCCATAGACTCACACAAAGACCCATAGACTCACATAGACCCATAGACTCACATAGACCCATAGACTTGCGTAGAGACCGATAGACTCACATAGAGACCCACAGAGACCCACAGAGACCCACAAATTCAAAGAGACTCATAGACTCACATAGAGACCCACAGACTCACATAGAGACCCATAGACTTTCATAGAGACCCATAGACTTACGTGATGGAACCTGACTTAAGAGCTTCTTAGCACACAGGGCACTTCAAAATAAACTTAAACTAAACTGGAACACAGAGAATCACATAGAGAATCCTACAGACTACCATAGAGACCCTACAGGCTGATCAGTGGAGAGGATTTGGCCAATCAGTGGAGAGAAGTAGGCCGATAAGTGGAGAGGAGTTGGCCGATCAGTGGAGAGGAGTTGGCCAATCAGTGGAGATGAGTTGGCCAATCAGTGGAGAGGAGTTGGCCGATAAGTGGAGAGGAGTTGGCCAATCAGTGGAGAGTTGTTGGCCGATAAGTGGAGAGGAGTTGGCCGATCAGTGGAGAGAAGTTGGCCAATCAGTGGAGAGGAGTTGGCCAATCAGTGGAGAGAAGTTGGCCGATAAGTGGAGAGGAGTTGGCCGATCAGTGGAGAGAAGTTGGCCAATCAGTGGAGAGGAGTTGGCCAATCAGTGGAGAGAAGTTGGCCAATCAGTGGAAAGGAATTGGCCAATCAGTGGAGAGAAGTTGGCCGATCGGTGGCGAGTTCACTGATCGGCGAAGAGGAGTTCGCCGATGGGTGGAGATTTTGCGATCAGTTGAAAGTTCGTTGATTGGTGGAAAGTTCGCCGATCGGTGGAGAGGAGCTTGCGAGTCGCGACCCCGGGTGGCGGCGATTCCTGCACAGTAACGCATCGTGCAGAAGTACCGTGCACCACTCTAAACCGCACCCTGCCCACGATCGCAAATCTTTCTTCATCCCGGGGGAATCTGATGAGCTGCGAAGCTCTTGTTCACGCACGTCCAGCCAGTTTCACGGACGTCCTCCGACTGAGCCGCGGAGGAATACACGCACCGTCGTCATCATCATCATCATAATCATCGTCGCCGTTCACGGTGAGCAAACGTTTTTTTTTAGTTTCTTCTTATTCAAACTGCGTTGGACGAAAGGCGGCGGTGACCCCAGCGTGTAGGAGCCAAGCCCGTGACCTCCGACCCCTGCGGCACCACCTCCCCCCCCACCCTTCCCCGGCAGCCCCCGTGGACGCCCCCACGCTACTGGCGCCCGAGCTGCTGGCCGACTCGGTGACGCGGCTGCGGCTGGCGTTCTCGGCGCCGGCGCGGCCCAACGACACAGCCCTGGCGTACCAGGTGTCGGTGCGAGAAGTGGGGGGCGCCGCGGGAGGGGAATCGGGGGGGGCCTCCTCCTCCTCGTCGTCCCCCGCCGTGGTGCAGAACGTGACGGCGCTGGCGCAGAGCGACCGGCTGCAGGCGGAGGTGCTCGGCCTCAAGGGCGGGCGCAACTACAGCCTCGCGGTGAGCTCGCTCGCTCGCACGCTCAGTCACTCGCTCAATCGCTCGCTCGTTCGTCCACTCGCTCGCTCTTTCACTCGCTCGTTGACTCATTAGCTCTCACACTCGATCGCTCTCTCACTCGCTCGCTCACTTGCTCGCTCTCTTCCTAGCTCGCTTACTCGCTCTCTCACTCGCTCGCTTACTCACTCGCTCGTTCACTCATTCGCTCGCTCTCTCACTAGTTCTTTTACTCATTCACTCACTCGCTCACGCTGTCAGTCGCTAATTTACTCACTCGCTCACTGACTCTCTCACCGACTAGCTCGCTTACTCGCTCACTCGCTCACATGGTCAGTCACATGGTCAGTCACTCGCTTACTCGCTCACTCGCTCACATGGTCGGTCACTAACTTACTCACTCACATGGTGTGTCACTCACTCAGTCACTCGCTAACTTACTCACTCACATGGTCTGTCACTCACTCATTCACTCACGTACTCACTCACCCGCTCACATGGTCTGTCACTCACTCAGTCACTCACTAACTTACTCATTCACATGGTCTGTCACTCACTCAGTCACTCACTTACTCGCTCGCATGGCCTGTCACTCACTCAGTCACTCACTTACTCGCTCACATGGCCTGTCACTCGCTCACTCGCTCGCTCGTTCACTCAATTGGCTCTCCACAGTCGCTCCTCACCCTCACCGTGCTCACCATTCCGCCGTGTGTAGGTGCGTGCGGTGAACGGGGCGGGTCCTGGGCCCTGGTCCGGTGAGAGAGTGGTGAGCACGGGCATCATGGGTGAGTGCCGCACAGGGGAATTTCACCACTCGTTCACTGCTCACTGCTCACTCTCTCACCACTTGCCACTCGCTCACTGCTCACCACTGACTCACTGCTCACCACTCAATCACTCCTCACCACTCACTCACTGCTTACCAACCACTCACTGCTCAACACTCACTGCTCACCACTCACTGCTCACCACTCACTGCTCACTACTCATCACTCACTCACTACTCATCACTCACTCACTACATCACTCACTCACTACTCACTGATTACCATTCGCTCACTGCTCACCACTCACTGCTCATCACTCACTCACTACTCATCACTCACTCACTGCTCACCATTCACTCACCACTCGCTCACTTTTGTCTGTGTTGTGGTAGTGGTTATTATTGTGGTGGTGGTTGTTGAAGTTGTTGTCGTGGTGGTGGTTGAAGTTGTTTTTGTGGTGGTGGTTGAAGTTGTTGTTGTGGTGATGATTGTTGTTAAAGTTGTTGTCGTGGTGGTTGTTGAAGTTGTTTTTGTGGTGGTGGTTGAAGTTGTTGTTGTGGTGATGATTGTTGTTAAAGTTGTTGTCGTGGTGGTTGTTGAAGTTGTTGTCGTGGTGGTGGTTGAAGTTATTGTTGTGGTGATGGTTGTTGTTAAAGTTATCGTGGTGGTGGTTGAAGTTGTTGTTGTGGTGATGGTTGTTGTTAAAGTTGTTGTCGTGGTGGTTGTTGAAGTTGTTGTTGTGGTGATGGTTGTTAAAGTTGTCGTGGTGGTGGTTGAAGTTGTTGTCGTGGTGGTGGTTGAAGTTGTTTTTGTGGTGATGGTTGTTGTTAAAGTTGTTGTGGTGGTGGTTGAAGTTGTTGTCGTGGTTGTTGTTGAAGTTGTTGTTGTGGTTGTTGTTAAAGTTGTTGTCGTAGTGGTGGTGGTTAAAGTTGTTGTCGTGGTGGTTGTTAAAGTTGTTGTCGTGGTGGTGATTGTTGTTAAAGTTGTTGTCGTGGTGGTTGTTGAAGTTGTTGTCGTGGTGGTGATTGTTGTTAAAGTTGTTGTCGTGGTGGTTGTTAAAGTTGTTGTCGTGGTCGTGGTTAAAGTTGTTGTCGTGGTGGTTGTTAAAGTTGTTGTCGTGGTGGTGATTGTTGTTAAAGTTGTTGTCGTGGTGGTGATTGTTGTTAAAGTTGTTGTCGTGGTGGTTGTTAAAGTTGTTGTCGTGGTCGTGGTTAAAGTTGTTGTCGTGGTGGTTGTTAAAGTTGTTGTCGTGGTCGTGGTTAAAGTTGTTGTCGTGGTGGTTGTTAAAGTTGTTGTCGTGGTGGTTGTTAAAGTTGTTGTCGTGGTGGTTGTTGAAGTTGTTGTCGTGGTGGTTGTTAAAGTTGTTGTCGTGGTGGTTGTTGAAGTTATTGTTGTGGTGATGGTTGTTGTTAAAGTTGTTGTCGTGGTGGTTGTTGAAGTTATTGTTGTGGTGATGGTTGTTGTTAAAGTTGTTGTCGTGGTTGTCGTTGTGCCCCCCCCCCAGCCCCGCCGGTGCCGCTGGGGTTGCCCGTGGTGGCGCGCCGTGCCGACGGCTCCCGCGCCGTCACGGCCGACACGGTGGCGCTCGCCGCTCCGGGTTGCCTCTTCAGCGACGAGCATGGCCCCCTCGCACACATCCACACCATCGTGCTGGAGGCCGGGGGTAGGGGGCACGGGGGGGGGCACGGGGGGGCACGGGGGGCACGGGGGGGGCACGGGGGGCACGGGGGGGCACGGGGGGGGGCACGGGGACACGGTGGGTGAGATTCAGGAGGGACACGGGGGAGACACGGGGGGGGGGGGGAGGGGGAGACAGTGGGGACACGTGGGAGACATGGGGGAGACACAGGAAGGACACGGGGGGAGACACCAGGGGGGGGGGGGGAGACAGTGGGGACACGTGGGAGACAGTGGGGACACGTGGGAGACAGTGGGGACACGTGGGAGACAGGGGGGAGACACAGGAAGGACACGGGGGGAGACACCAGGGGGGGGGGGGAGACAGTGGGGACACGTGGGAGACAGTGGGGACACGTGGGAGACAGTGGGGACACGTGGGAGACATGGGGGAGACACAGGAAGGACACGGGGGGAGACACCAGGGGGGGGGAGACAGTGGGGACACGTGGGAGACAGTGGGGACACGTGGGAGACAGTGGGGACACGTGGGAGACATGGGGGAGACACAGGAAGGACACGGGGGGAGACACCAGGGGGGGGGGGAGACAGGGGGGACACGTGGGAGACAGTGGGGACACGTGGGAGACAGTGGGGACACGTGGGAGACATGGGGGAGACACAGGAAGGACACGGGGGGAGACACCAGGGGGGGGGGGAGACAGTGGGGACACGTGGGAGACAGTGGGGACACGTGGGAGACAGTGGGGACACGTGGGAGACAGTGGGGACACGTGGGAGACAGTGGGGACACGTGGGAGACATGGGGGAGACACAGGAAGGACACGGGGGGAGACACCAGGGGGGGGGGGAGACAGGGGGGACACGTGGGAGACAGTGGGGACACGGGGGAGACAGTGGGGACACGTGGGAGACAGTGGGGACACGTGGGAGACAGTGGGGACACGTGGGAGACAGTGGGGACACGTGGGAGACAGTGGGGACACGTGGGAGACAGTGGGGACACGTGGGAGACAGTGGGGACACGTGGGAGACAGTGGGGACACGTGGGAGACAGTGGGGACACGTGGGAGACACATGGACCCTCACCGGGCGGCATGTCCCCCCCCCCCCATCCCCCCAGCCGTAGCGGACGAGCCGCTGGCTACGTGGCACGAGGCCTACTTTGGCCAGCGGCCGCGCCCGTACGTGGCCACCGCAGAGGCCGTGGCGACCGCCTGCCGGGCCCAGCGGGGGTGGGCCCAGCCGGGGAGGGCCCAGCGGGCCACTGAGCCCGTCCTCGTCGTGGGAGGCGACCAGACGTGCCGGCAGAAGGCACGCACCGACCAGGTGTGCAACGGGCCGCTCAAGCCTGGGAGAGCTTACCTGTGAGTGGGGGGCAGGGAGGGGGACATTCACCCTCGTGCACTCGCCCAGAACACACACATCCACACTCTTACACTCACCTGTACACTCACCTCCACACTCAAACACTCACCTGTACACTCACCTCCACACTCATACACTCACCTATACACTCACCTGTACACTCATACACTCACCTGTACACTCACCTCCACACTCACCTGTACACTCACCTCCATAATCATACACTCACCTCTACACTCACCTGTACACTCACCTGTACACTCACCTGCACACTCATACACTCACTTGTACACTCACTTCCACACTCACCTGTACACTCACCTGTACACTCATACACTCACCTCCACACTCACCTGTACACTCACCTCCATAATCATACACTCACCTGTACACTCACCTCTACACTGACCTGTACACTCACCTCCACAATCATACACTCACCTGTACACTCACCTGTACACTCACCTCCACAATCCTACACTCACCTGTACACTCACCTGGACACTCACCTCCAAACTCATACACTCACCTGTACACTTAGCTGTACACTCACCTCCACACTCATACACTCACCTATACACTCACTTGTACACTCATACACTCACCTGTGCACTCACCTCCACACTCACCTGTACACTCACCTCCATAATCATACACTCACCTCTACACTCACCTGTACAATCACCTGTACACTCACCTGCACACTCATACACTCACCTGTACACTCACTTCCACACTCACCTGTACACTCACCTGTACACTCATACACTCACCTGTACACTATGTGGTGGATTGTTAACGACACGTACATTTTGCGCGACGATCTAGCCCAACAAAAACAACGTCATCATGAATAATATCAGAACCGGAATATTTTACGTATACTGCACGAGGAATCCGATGAGCTACGAAGCTCTTTACTCACACGATGTCCGTTAGGGACACGGGGTCAGAACGTCACAACGACAAACGCAGAGTACAAAACGGCGATGGTAGCGCAGAGTACAAGAACGGTAAAGAAACCGCCCAACACACGCAAGTTAAACCATCCCCATCCTACCAGGATAATCACACTGAGGTATTCACTTATCGGGCATGAAAGCCTCTTCCTGCTCGTCATACCACTACGCGTTGGCCATTTGTTGTCAATCACCGATAGGGGGAGCAGCAGTGGCCACTGCATTTTGATGCCATCAGTAGGTCCATCCCATGTCTATCTAAGCTGTGATGGCATCAGGATGTCTATCCCATGTCTATCTAAGGAGTGATGGTATCAGGATGTCTATTCCATGTCTATCTAAGCAGTGATGGCATCAGGTTGTTTATCCCATGTCTATCTAAGGAGTGATGGCATCAGGATGTCCATCCCATGTCTATCTAAGCAGTGATGGCATCGGGATGTCTATCCCATGTCTATCTAAGGAGTGATGGCATCAGGATGTCTATCCCATGTCTATCTAAGGAGTGGTGGCATCAGGATGTCTATCCCATGTCTATCTAAGCAGTGATGGCATCAGGATGTCTATCCCATGCCTATCTAAGCAGTGATGGCATCAGGATGTCTATCCCATGTCTATCTAAGGAGTGATGGCATCAGGATGTCTATCCCATGTCTATCTAAGGAGTGATGGCATCAGGAGTCCATCCCATGTCTATCTAAGGAGTGATGGCATCAGGATGTCTATCCCATGTCTATCTAAGCAGTGATGGCATCAGGATATCCATCCCATGTCTATCTAAGAAGTGATGGCATCAGGAGTCCATCCCATGTCTATCTAAGGAGTGATGGCATCAGGATGTCTATCCCATGTCTATCTAAGCAGTGATGGCATCAGGATGTCTATCCCATGTCTATATAAGCAGTGATGGCATCAGGATGTCTATCCCATGTCTATCTAAGCAGTGATGGCATCAGGATGTCTATCCCATGTCTATCTAAGCAGTGATGGCATCAGGATGTCCATCCCATGTCTATCTAAGCAGTGATGGCATCAGGATGTCTATCCCATGTCTAACTAAGGAGTGATGGCATCAGGATGTCTATCCCGTGTCTATCTAAGCAGTGATGGCATCAGGTCCATCCCATGTCTATCTAAAGTGTGATGCCATCAGGTCCATCCCATGTCTATCTAAGCAGTGATGGCATCAGGATGTCTATCCCATGTCTATCTAAGGAGCGATGTTATCAGGATGTCCATCCCATGTCCATCTAAGGAGTGATGGCATCAGGATATCCATCTCATGTCTATCTAAGCAGGGATGGCATCAGGATATCCATCCCATGTCTATCTAAGCAGTGATGGCATCCGGATGTCTATCCCATGTCTATCTAAGCAATGATGTTATCAGGATGTCTATCCCGTGTCTATCTAAGGAGTGATGACATCAGGAGGTCTACCCCACGTCTATCTAAGGAGTGATGGTATCAGGATGTCTATCCCATTTCTATCTAAGCAGTGATGGCATCAGGATGTCTATCCCATGTCTCTCTGAGCAGTGATGGCATCAGGATGTCTATCCCACGTCTATCTAAGGAGTGATGGCATCAGGATGTCCATTCCATGTCTATCTAAGGAGTGATGGCATCAGGATGTCTATCCCATGTCTAGCTAAGGAGTGATGGCATCAGTAGGTCTATCCCATGTCTATCTAAGCAGTGATCGCATCAGGATGTCTATCCCATGTCTATCTAAGGAGTGATGGCATCAGGATGTCTATCCCATGTCTATCTAAGCAGTGATGGTATCAGGATGTCTATCCCAAGTCTATCTAAGGAGTGATGGCATCAGGATATCTATCCCATGTGTATCTAAGGAGTGATGGCATCAGGATGTCTATCCCATGTCTATCTAAGGAGTGATGCCATCAGCATGACCATCCCATGGCTATCTAAGCAGTGATGGCATCAGGATATCTATCCCATGTCTATCTAAGCAGTGATGCCATCAGGATGTCTATCCCATGCCTATCTAAGGAGTGATGGCATCAGGATGTCTATCCCATGTCTATCTAAGCAGTGATGCCATCAGGATGTCTATCCCATGCCTATCTAAGGAGTGATGGCATCAGGATGTCTATCCCATGTCTATCCAAGCAGTGATGGCATCAGGATGTCTATCCCATGTCTATCTAAGGAGTGATGGCATCAGGATGTCTATCCCACGTCTATCTAAGCAATGATGGCATCAGGATGTCTATCCCACGTCTATCTAAGAAGTCATGGCATGAGGATGTCCATCCCATGTCTATCTAAGCAGTGATGGCATCAGGATGTCTATCCCATGTCTATCTATGCAGTGATGGCATCAGGAGTCTGTCCCATGTCTATCTAAGAAGTGATGGCATCAGGAGTCTATCCCATGTCTATCTAAGCAGTGATGGCATCAGGATATCCATCCCATGTCTATCTAAGAAGTGATGGCATCAGGAGTCCATCCCATGTCTATCTAAGGAGTGATGGCATCAGGATGTCTATCCCATGTCTATCTAAGCAGTGATGGCATCAGGATGTCTATCCCATGTCTATATAAGCAGTGATGGCATCAGGATGTCTATCCCATGTCTATCTAAGCAGTGATGGCATCAGGATGTCTATCCCATGTCTATCTAAGCAGTGATGGCATCAGGATGTCCATCCCATGTCTATCTAAGCAGTGATGGCATCAGGATGTCTATCCCATGTCTAACTAAGGAGTGATGGCATCAGGATGTCTATCCCGTGTCTATCTAAGCAGTGATGGCATCAGGTCCATCCCATGTCTATCTAAAGTGTGATGCCATCAGGTCCATCCCATGTCTATCTAAGCAGTGATGGCATCAGGATGTCTATCCCATGTCTATCTAAGGAGCGATGTTATCAGGATGTCCATCCCATGTCCATCTAAGGAGTGATGGCATCAGGATATCCATCTCATGTCTATCTAAGCAGGGATGGCATCAGGATATCCATCCCATGTCTATCTAAGCAGTGATGGCATCAGGATGTCTATCCCATGTCTATCTAAGCAATGATGTTATCAGGATGTCTATCCCGTGTCTATCTAAGGAGTGATGACATCAGGAGGTCTACCCCACGTCTATCTAAGGAGTGATGGTATCAGGATGTCTATCCCATTTCTATCTAAGCAGTGATGGCATCAGGATGTCTATCCCATGTCTCTCTGAGCAGTGATGGCATCAGGATGTCTATCCCACGTCTATCTAAGGAGTGATGGCATCAGGATGTCCATTCCATGTCTATCTAAGGAGTGATGGCATCAGGATGTCTATCCCATGTCTAGCTAAGGAGTGATGGCATCAGTAGGTCTATCCCATGTCTATCTAAGCAGTGATCGCATCAGGATGTCTATCCCATGTCTATCTAAGGAGTGATGGCATCAGGATGTCTATCCCATGTCTATCTAAGCAGTGATGGTATCAGGATGTCTATCCCATGTCTATCTAAGCAGTGATGGCATCAGGATGTCTATCCCATGTCTCTCTAAGAAGTGATAGCATCAGGATGTCTATCCCATGTCTATCTAAGCAGTGACGGCATCAGGATGTCTATCCCATGTCTATCTAAGGAGTGATGGTATCAGGATGTCTATCCCATGTCTATCTAAGCAGTGATGGCATCAACATTTCTATCCCATGTCTATCTAAGCAGTGATGGCATCAACATGTCTATCCCATGTCTATCTAAGGAGTAATGGCATCAGGAGTCCATCCCATGTCTATCTAAGGAGCGATGTTATCAGGATGTCTATCCCAAGTCTATCTAAGGAGTGATGGCATCAGGATATCTATCCCATGTGTATCTAAGGAGTGATGGCATCAGGATGTCTATCCCATGTCTATCTAAGGAGTGATGCCATCAGCATGACCATCCCATGGCTATCTAAGCAGTGATGGCATCAGGATATCTATCCCATGTCTATCTAAGCAGTGATGCCATCAGGATGTCTATCCCATGCCTATCTAAGGAGTGATGGCATCAGGATGTCTATCCCATGTCTAT